TGCTTTTCATATTCCCGGTGGCGCGCTCTCCAAGCCTGTGTACAGCACACACATGAAGAGTTGCTCGTGTGGACACAAGGCTTTGTCCAAAGCTTATGACATCGAGGCGGTCGTCTATTCCATGAGTGGTCCATCTGATGCAATCGTCCGGACTATGCGCTGCACAGCTTGGGGTTGCAGGAAGACCTACGGCCCCAATTTTGTCAATGTCGATGGATGCAAACTGAACACCGCCAACCCGCAGGACATTCAGAAGGTCTTGTTCGTGAACGTGAAGCGTGGCTTCAGCTTGGAGTACTTGCAGTACCACACCCAGCTTGAGTTCCGTGCATTTGTTTCATCCAGAGCCATCCAGGATGTGTACGAGAATGTCTACGGCACCGTGGATGATACGGACTTCACTCGCTTCCGGAAGGCTCACGCAGATGCAATTATGTACTGGGCGGCATTGCAGGAGTTGTCTTCCCTTGGCATCAACCAACCCATTGAGATCGGCAACGAACTCTCCGAGATCTCTTTGGCTGCGTATGACAAGCACCTGCACTCCAAAGTCTTCCCCCCTCGAAACAAAGCTTCTGTCACAGAGCTAGTTGGCGATGGACATGCCAAAGTCCATGTGAAGTGCTCTGAGGTTGCGCCGCACCAAGGCAAGCCCCGCAAGAATGGAAAGGGCAAGCCGTACGGGCACGGGTGGTTCATGATCGTCGACCCCAAGAACTTGCAAGTGCTTTCGGTTTCCTGCATGAGCAAGCCAGAGAACAACGAAGTTGTGAAGGACTCACTGTTGAAGATCTTGCCCATGTACAAGAAGGTTAACTGCTTCGTGCTGGATCGGAACTGCGCCTTCATGCCGCAAGCCCTGGAGGTGAAAGAATTCAAGCAGGTGAAGTATTGGACCATCGACTGCTTCCATGCCACTGGGCACAAGAAGACATGCAAGTGCAACCCTCTGCATGTGCCGCGGTTGGCCAAGCGGTTGAAGCACGTGAACACGTCTGCGGCAGAGCAAGTGTTCGCGTGGTTTCGGAACTACGCACGTGTGCTGAACGAATCCTCTCCTCTCCGGCACGCCTTCAAGGTGCTCTACTACTGCAAGATGCATAACCAAGCGATCCGCAACAAGAAGGCCACGTACACCAACCAGCACGGCCAGCAGAAGCGCAAGCGTGTGGCCAAGCCCTATCAGTGCTCCTCCGTCTACAAGAAACCGTCCGCCAAGTGAGAGCAGTTTTGATTCAGCCTAGGGCATCTTCAATCTCTTTCTGTCACTAATTAGGGTGACATAGCATTTGATTTGGCAACAGTCCAGCAAACAAGTCTACAAAAAAAAGCTGCCTTGCACAAAGACATGCCCGTGTGTTCTGGCTCCTTGGTCTAACAAAGAAAAACACAACATAAATACAAATCCTGTTTGCACCACTAAAGGCACTACACTGGAAAAACACAGGCCCCAAAAGGCACTACACTGGAAAAACACAGGCCCCATGGCGGCCCGCTCTCCTCTGTTTCCCGTGGCCAACAGAGCATGGTTGACGTAAGGGGAGCCAAATTTTAACTTTTAGGGGAATGAGGGAATGAGAAAATGAAAAACAACCACGAGAGGAACCACTCTTTGAGGTTCCCTCCATGCAACTCCGAGCCGAGCTCCGGCGACCGAGCTCCGAGCAGAGGCGCCGGTTGTCCCCGTACTTGGCCTCCGCGTCCTCCGCCAGCATCGTGAGCGCCGGCAGCGCCGCGGAGGCTGCCACCGCCGCGTTGAAGTCCACCCCCTCGCAGCGCAGCCCCGAAAACCCCGAAACGGGAGGAAGGTTGGTTTTGGGGCCCAGTGGCTGGCATGCGTCTAGGTTTCTAGTTGTTGATTTGTCTGTTTCTTGTTTTGGTCTGGTCTTAGGTTTCTAGGTTTTGTTTTGTTGTTCTAGGTGTCTAGGCGCTCTTTTTCCGGGGGTTTAGGTTTCTAGTGTTTGCTTTTTCTTATTTTTTTTGGTTTCTAGTGTTTGTCTGCACATTGGTTCATGTTCAGGGTCTTTGCCAAAAGAGCTTCATCTCAGAAGGGTGCGTTTGTTGGGTTCCATGTGAATGTGTAGTAGAACTTCACTGCTGTTAGCATGTTTTTAGGTGTCGTGTTGTCTGCTTGGGTTCTGCTATTTTTAGTAGGCGGCTTCAAATAACAGTCAGTTGTACCGTGAGGTGGGTGCCCTGTAAATATTGCAACTAGGGAACAAGTTGGACACGACAATGCAAATTCCATGGCTTTGTGGTTGGCTTGCTTGCAGTTTTTGGGGCATTCACCGTATGTTAGGGATAAATGGTGCTATGATGCATATGCATACCGTACCTTATAGCTATGCAATGCTATGCATATATACATAAATAGACGTGACTTTGTAGGGCCCCTTGAAAGATCACAGCCCGCTATGTTCGGTTGGCCAGAAAGATTTGCTCTGTGAGACCAAAGCAAACTAAAGCATCTGCAACAAGCCAGGGTTTTTAACGTGCATCCAATTTCAAAATGTTCATGTACAAGGAATAGGATCCGTTTGATATTGCAACGGGGGCTTCCCGCAAAGAAGGCCCCAAACAACTGACACCCAAACAAAGACCCGAACAAGGCCTCTACTGGACTCGACCTTGTCGCTCTTGGCCCCAATGTCGGATTAGAGCACCGCAAAACCAAACCCAAAAGAGCAAAGGGAAGCTGATTTGTTTCTACCAGGATCACTGGACCAATCGGTTTGAGAGGATACCACGGGTCTTCCAGCATATTGCATCACCAGTCAAAACAACCATATTTTCTTGAACACGCACACACACAGCATGGCATTCCTTTGTCCATAATCAAAACCCAGAACCATGTGAAGAACTAGAAAGGCCGCAACTAATTCTGGCTGGGTCTTTCTCTTACTAACCACACATCAAATGGGGCTCATCCTGCCAGCCTTGGCCTTAGGCAACTTCTCCGGGCTGGACAGGAAGCCTGGGGACACTGGCAAGACATTTTGGACCCTTGGGAGAAAACGGGGATTTCTCACTTCTGAGCAAGTGGATGGGCCAAGAGTCCTGGGACGTGTTGTTTACCACTCATATGGTCCAGACCCAAAAAGTGACTAAAGTCCAGGAACTCAGGATTCCTCGTCCTCCTGAAGGTCGTGATCGACCTGTTGTGGGATTAATAGAAAGTTGTTTCCAAAAGGTCTAAGGGGCGATTCGGTCACGCCAACGACCAGCCAATAAAAGGCTCTCATTTCCAGTGGATGCCAACCAATGCAGAAACCAGCCGTCTCCTTTCAGTTGTTTAAGGGTGGTTAAAAAGGGTTGTTACAGTAGAGGCCAATGAAATAACCGAATTTGTGGGTAGATAAGTTCAAAGGGAATCCGAATCACAGATCCCCTTAAAATTAAGCGAAGAACACTGGAGGTCTGGGAGTTAAACGATTCGACATGAAACCTGACTGGGCAGAAATGGCCTGTGACCATGCTCCTCTCGGGATATTCTGGTGGGTTGGGAGAGAGGGCAGGCTGACGGTTGAAAACATCCAGTTTGATGGGAAACGGAGCCACCCAAATGAAAGCAACATCAGGGCTGGTTGCTGATAAGTTGGACTATGCTTCCTAGTTCTTGGTCGGGAAGGTGGGAACCATTGGTGTCCTTGAAAGGCTGGAGATTCACCCCCGTGGCCTAAGGCCTGTTGGAAAAGGCGGAGCCAACCAAGGCCTGGACTCACCCAGTCTGGGGGTGTGGGGCACCAAAGCAACGGCAGAAAAGGTGCTGAATCGAAACGGGTGCCTGGCAGGCACCCTGCAGGCTTCGCGTCTCCCATCAAGCCCAAGGAATGTGGCTTGGAGAGAACAAGTGGGGCAAACGAGAGCCAGCCGAGGAGCAGTAAGACAGCCCCAGGACTGCCGCCAAAGCCACTAGGAGCATGCGCCCAGGTCGCGCCATTGCTTCAGGCTAGGGGGATGGCTCAACAAAAATCCACGGCTGGGGCTTGAGCCGCTGCAAAAAAAAGCGCGCGCCAGTCTCTATAGGAAGGCTTCAACTACTCTCAAACCACTACCCAAGGGAAACGGGGTATATACATGTATACAGCGCGATTACACCCCTATTATACGTAGCAGCTACATCCATGATTCTACATCGCATAGATTCGGAGGGTAGTGGCTTGAGGTAGCAAAAATGCTGTTGGACAGTCCAGCCTGGTCCACGAAAATGTGAAGGGATCCGGGCAAATTCGAATTTGTAGAAGTCAAGGGGTGTAAACCAGAATCGCCCGTGACTTTAGGGCACCATTACATGGAGAGCTACGTAGGGCACCATGCCAACAATGCCCTACGTAGTTCTCGAGCAAGACAAATACCACCTTGTATCCACCAACCCCACTCAGCAAAATGTTGACGCCCCGCCTGTGTTTCCTCTAGGGAAATGTGTTGGGGGGAAGCTTGCCCAATCAACGTACCCACCTCTGGCATTCCCCCTCACATTTGGTCTACAAAAGCATTTAAGCAAATCTTAAACATTTGAGGTGATCTATCCAAAGCTCAGGAAAAGTCAGATTTGGAAGGACCTCAGTTGAGGGTGGCCGACCCTGACATAATACAAAAAACATGGTACAAATCTCATTTTTTGGAGGAGAGGCCGGACTTACACTAGTTGCTGTTGACCCTCACTGCCAAAAGTTAAAAACTGCTTGTGTTCAATGAAACATGTATCATTTCAACCAAAAAGTTGAAGCCCGAGAGGATCCGCTGCCGAATAGCCGCTACGTGGTCGACCCCCCCCAAAAAAAAGTCACAATTCCCACGTTCCAAATCAGACCCCAGGGGTGGGGGAGAAAAATCAGGGAGACAACCCAGCCCCCCCATCTGAAAAAAAAAAAAAACTACCCCCCCCCGGAACATAACAAAAACCAACAAACACACAAAAACAAAAATGCATAACAGCCAACAGCCACCCCAGGAAACGACCCTACAAAAACACCCTCCGTCAGGTGCTTCCGAGTGGCTGGCGCTGGGCTGCAGCCGCCTCAGCACCGCCTCCGCCACCAGCTCTGGGGCCAAGGTCTCGGACTTTACCAGCGCCTGGGCTCTGCTTTGTTGGTGTGGGTTCTGTTATTTTTTGGGGGGGGTTGGTGTTGTGTTATTGTTTCTGGTTTCGTGTTCTTTGTTGTTGTTCTGATTTTCCTGATTTTGCTTTCTTTTCGGTGGTGCCCCCGCTCTTTCGGTGGTTTAAAAGGGAAACCAACTGGAAAACCACTTAGTTTGGTTTTTGTTGGCCCGGCAGGTCCCTCAAAGAAAGACGCAGCCACTTGGAGCTACGTTGCCAAGGTAGTGGTCAGCCGCGTGGGGAATATATACATACATGGTACCCCCCCCTTTCGTGGATCGTGGTTTAGTGTGTTTGACCTGTATTTTTCCAGTGTCTCCATGGGGGCGGGGGGGTTGCATATATATATATATATAACCCCCCTGACAATGTGAACCCCACTGAACAGGGGACATATTTTACACAATTGTAGTGCGTTCTAACCTGGGCCGCCAACAACTTGCTTGGCCGAACACCCAAGTACAGGGTTCCTCACAGATTTTCGGAGTAGCTTAAAATGTCTTGCAGTTAGGATCGTGTGTTGGAAAAACCAGGGCAACGTGGAAGCCCCTTTTAATTGGGATTCATCACTTTTGGCCGTTGAGCAGGTTCATAAAATCCGAGGACAACATTACCCTCCCTGGACCCCTTCTGAACATCAATCTTCATGCTGGGGGGGGGAGTATGCCCAAAAGGCATCTTGGAGGATTCTTGGACAAGCCCAACCATGTTGTTGAATCATGTCTTCCGTTTCAAAAGCCATCTGCGGCCCCTATTTCTCTCATTGATTTGGATTCAAAAGATGCAAAACCGGGAGCATGTTCAAATGATCGCCCAAATCGAAAGGACATTTAAATCAACCCAAAATCCATTGTATGTCTACCAGTAAACTGGTCATCCCAACAACTGGTAAGTTCAGGAAATCCAGGAGTAAGGTTTCCGTTGTAGCCATCATTGAGCCAAGTAGAACCACCTTCCAAAACTGCGAATTTGTCTCCACATGTGATACGGAACTTGCCTCGGCAGGTGAGAAGCATGCAGGTCCCTGTGATATTGCTGTATTACGTTGCCAGCAAAGAGAAGTAGCCCAGCCTGCGGCCCTGGAAAAACCACACAATGCGCGGGAAATTCGATGCCCCTTGTCATCTTTCCGGTGAACTCCAGCTTGGTGACTACCCCTGCGCAGAAAGCTTAACTTGTTGACTAGCAAGGGAACCACACACCTGACCCCAAGAAGTCCAAGGTTAAAGATGCAACCCAGCGGCCAAGTCAAGATCTTTCGTACCCGGCGGCCGGCTAGAACTTGGAAATACAACCCAATCTTAACCCCGCATTGCACGTTCTGGCGATCATTATTTGAGCAAAGCGCCTTCATGCAAGATGCTAATGTCGGAGCCCAATTCCACAGAAATGTTGACCCCATATCAATCAACCTCAGTTTATTCATAGGGGGGTGTTTCCCCCCAATAGCGATGATTCCCAACCAAGCCCAGGTTGACAAATAAAATCCGAGGTTGATTAATGTGGGAGGATCATTCCCCCGAAACTCCAAACGAAATTCTCCGAGTCTGTCCGGACCGCCAAAAAAAAACAAATCTGTACAGTTCCTGTACTCCCACAAAAAACGCCGTCATTTTTCCAAATCCGTCCGGACCGCAACAAAAAAAATCAACCCGAACACCGAATTGAGCCGCTGCGCCTGGCAAAACTCCGTGGGCAGTGGCACCGAGATCATATCTCCAAGGAAACGACAGATTGGCGACGGGGGGAGCGAGCCAAAACGCTGCGAGCATTGGGCGGTCTCCTGTGGATCCTTGGCTGCTGGGGCAAAAAACAAATTGAAGAAAAGGACGTATTCACAAAGAACTAAACTGTAGTTCCAAGTAGATAAAAATATATGAAAGTAATTGGACATGCATCAGGTGGAAAATGAGTCGGCTTTCCCCTGTTCATCTTGCCTTTTCACTTACTTTGTCATTTAGCCGCTTCCCTTCTGCCCCAATGATTCACTTGTCCCATCCGACAAGCCAGAAGCTTCAGGACCGGCTTCAGTTGCTCGTTGCTTTGTGGTTAACGTGGCCGGGCGCATTTGCTCAGCCCCAGCGGCCAAGCGAAGAAGCCTTCTTAAGGCTCCATGAGGCCATCTTTCGACTTGATGCCAAGATCAAGAAAACAGCTGTGCAGCGGCCTGGGGAAACACAAGCACCGACCCTTGTGCAGCCTGCTTTGCTCACCCATCCATGCCATAGTCACAACAGGATCGCCCAAAAATCCCCGAACATGCATGGACGCAACAATGCCAACTTCAAATCGGGGGCCAACCGTCCTTTGTGTTGGCAACTTGTTGAGAGGACTTGTGGGTTTAGGCCTCGAAACCGATTCAAGCAACCTCCACGTGAGTCATGTTCACCAATCTGCGGGCGCACCTATTTCTTTGTGGGATTGTCCCTTGCTAACCCTCTTCTGGGATTTTGTCAAGATGATGGGCCCCTCTAGGTGGTGTTTGTGTTGGGTTCCCTTTCAAGCCATCCCAAGAACTTCCGCCATTTGAAGAACCCCTGGCTCATGCGGCCATGCGGCACTGCCCCCCTCCCTCATACACACACGAGATGCCTCCCAACGTGCCAGGGCGGCGCAAGAACTCAGCCTGACCACTTGCACAGGGCCTCCCTACCTTGAAGGGGAGGGGTGTGGGGAGTGAGGGGGGGTGGTGGGATTGGCAACCTGTGGAATGCTTCCACTTTCTGCTTTGCAGACCCTGAATTAGAGCTACTTTGTTACGCATATATGTATATCTTCATACAAATGTCTAGGAAAGTTACTGTAAGATTCACTTTGGGTGGTCCTGCAAGCCCCTAGTGACGTTGCTACAATTCGACCAGAATCAGTATAAATACACGTATGGATAAACAAATACCTGTGGATGCATGCAACAATTTGTATTTACGTATATGTATATACATATATCAGGTGGCTTCCTTCGTGATCCATGTGAATTACGGTCAGAATCTGACAGGATCTGGCAACGTCTAAAAGTCGATGCCGGATATTGATATAATATGCTGCAACTAATCATGCGCAACGCCGCTCCCGAACCAAACATGACGCCTATGCACCTTGACCGAAACCTCCAATGGCCATGGAACAACAACTGCTTCGGATTCTAGGCGCTTCTCCAATGAAGGTCTGGTGGATGGATCTTCTGTTGACTGTTTGTCTGCCTGCCTGTCTTTGTCTGCTTTTCTGTTTGTCCGTCTGCATGTCTGCCTGCTCCCTCAAGCAATGTCAATGAGCAGCGGCTGAGAAACAGCGCCGCAGTGAACAGTGGTGCTACAAATCAACTAGCAAGACATCGCACGTCCTTCCAACCCCCCCCCTTCCAACGCAGCGACAGCTCAAGCACACAACTTGGATACACTTCTCATGTGGGTTCTGGGCACGTTTAAAACTTAAACTTTTACGCTGGTTGTCAAGAATCCCAATTCAGAGGTCCATGACCATCCCTACAAAGTGTTGAGCATGGCACGTGGGTTCTCAAACTCTGAAATTCCTGAACCTCATCCACAAAAGCAAGACCCTGGCCTAGTCTAATGCATCCGTGGCATCAAAGAGCGGCTGCAGATCTTCCAGGAACTGCGACTGCACCTCGCAACCGCCAACGTCTTTTGCCAGCCCCGAGCACAGCAAGACAGCTGCGGTTGAGTGGGAAGCCATCAAAGCACCACAACTTGTGTGGGGCTCTGGACAAATCACGGAGCTCAAACACGCGTACCCAAGGAACGCGACAAATATTCAAGCACCACTCTACATGGGCATTCTGTATGTGATATTATATATGTATACTATCTATATGTATGTATATGTAAATGAATGACTCTATATATATATATATATGTGTGCATATATATATATATATATACACATCTCCCGGCCAAAGTCCGTTGTATAAACCTCACAAATTTTAAAGCTGGCTGGCGGAGCTGAAAACCATTACAGGTCACCCAAGGACCGTGCAAAGCTGGCCACAGGGGAAAGCATGAAAGGGCAACTGCAAGTCTTGGGTCTGTTGCAGAAAACCGTAGGCCTCACTGCTCTTGCACATGCCGATGACTTGTTACGTGTTTCCGATTGAAGTGTAGGCCAAACGAAAACAAACAACACACGGTTGAAAGCGGGTCATCAGCCAGGTCCAGTGACAAGACAGGTAGCAAAAGAGTTGAACCCATCCAAGAATGCAAGTGGTTGGCTGATTTCATGCTTGAGCATCATGGGTTCTTGCAAGCCAAAAGGATAACGGTGTCTCTCACAACCGGACGCCAGGTCGGATCATTGGACACACAGAAGGGGATGGTGTCTTCGAATAGCCCCGCCCCTTAAGGATACATTTTGGGCCGATTCGACAACAATCAACTTTTGACAGCTGACTGGGAGAATCGAAAGCCTTCTTGGCAAGTTGTTGTTGTATTAGTATGTACCCGAATCAAAGAGGGCCCTGGCTTGCCTTGGCTCACATCTCGCGTACACACCCACAAAATACACATATCCCGTTTCATATTTGGCCCACCCCAATACAAATGCGACACACAATTCCTTGAGCGGAACCCGCCCACAAATGGGCTTCTCCAAACAACACACAAGAAATCAACAATTGGGCCCCCCTCTAGGTCCTCCAGTAGAGAGGTTAGAATCAGGAAACCCTTTTTCTGTAGTCTATCTTAGTAGGGGAACCCCCCCAACCAAAAAAGTTGATACAATGTGCACTACTGGGGACCTTAGCCCTCCTTTAAAGCTTTGAACCCCCCCCCTCCCCCCCAAAAAAGGGGAAAAGGGCACTGGGGGACCCAGAAAAAGCTTTCGGAGACGTCGGCGCTTCCGCTTCCGCGCCCCTTCCGCGCCCGGCTGCGGCGCCTCGGAGGCCTCGTCGACCTCCGCCAGGACCACGCCCACGTCCAGGGCCACTTCGCGGATCCGGGCCAAGGCGCCTCGGGGTTCGGTGGGTTCGGGCCGACAGGGCCGCAGGCGGAATCTCAATCTGAAACTCAGCCTTTCCAAGCGGCGATTCCGACATTTCTTGGTGAGCTAACGGCGAAATCAGCTTGAAGGTGCTGAGTGCTCCGTCTCCTCAAAGCTTGAAGCTCGACGTTTTCAAGGCGAGCGAAAAAACTAGTTTCTAGCAGTTCAGTGGGGGGGTTCAAACAACTAAACCACCATAAGCAAAAATGTAAGATGTGTCCCAACAACAACCATGTGAGGGGCTAGTGTTTTACTCACTTCCTGAGTGGCTGGGCCAAAAGAAAGCACAGCCAAACTGCTCGGTTTGTCACACATGTTGTCTTCCCAAGAAGTGTAAAGTCCAGCAATTCAGGAAGTGAGATAAGTACCACTAGTTTACAGGTCTCGTATGGCCCACTAGGCTCATACCTGCCTCAAGCTGAGGACATTCCCCTTGCAGATACGGACGCGGTTGACCGGTTTTGTGCCCGCCGGGAGCCACTAAGTTTGGTTTGGATGCTTGGGTGTTACCATCCCCATTTGGCTTAGGGGCCTGCCACTCCAAACCCACCAACTCAGTCTCACTTTCTGAGTGAATTAGCGTCAAAAAGGCAAAACCTGTTGTTTCCCACCCACATGATCTTCCCAGAAAGCTTGCGTAGCAAAAGGGAAATTCAAATATATTGGGCTTGAAACCCCACTGAACTTTACCTGACCTCCCGAATAGGAAGCTTGCAAAAAGACACTGTTGGTTGCCATTCCTGAAAGGCCCCGCGCACTTTTGGGGATGTTTTGGGGATGATCCCCGTTACCCTCCCACCAAATAACTTGGAAGACGACTTACCTCAAAAAGGGAACCTCCTTCGACACGCTCACTGTTTCGCAACGCGCAAAAGGCAACAAACAACATGTCCGGCATCTCACTTTCCAATCAACAGTGGCCGGGTCTCTAAGGGCCAACTGCATGTTCCCTGCACAAAAACAAATCCAAACCCAAATCCGAATCCAAACCACCAATCCCAAACAACAAATAAAAAAAACCCAAATCCAAATCCAAGCCACCAGTCCCAAACAACAAACAAAAAACCCAAATCCAAATCCAAGCCACCAATCCCAAACAACAAACAAAAAACCCAAATCCAAATCCAAGCCACCAATCCCAAACAACAAACAAAAAACCCAAATCCAAATCCAAGCCACCAATCCCAAACAACAAACAAAAAACCCAAATCCAAATCCAAGCCACCAATCCAAATCCAAGCCACCAATCCCAAACAACAAACAAAAAACCCAAATCCAAATCCAAGCCACCAATCCCAAACAACAAACAAAAAACCCAAATCCAAATCCAAGCCACCAATCCCAAACAACAAACAAAAAACCCAAATCCAAATCCAAGCCACCAATCCCAAACAACAAACAAAAAACCCAAATCCAAATCCAAGCCACCATCCAAACAACAAACAAAAAACCCAAATCCAAATCCAAGCCACCAATCCCAAACAACAAACAAAAAACCCAAATCCAAATCCAAGCCACCAGTCCCAAACAACAAACAAAAAACCCAAATCCAAATCCAAGCCACCAATCCCAAACAACAAACAAAAAACCCAAATCCAAATCCAAGCCACCAGTCCCAAACAACAAACAAAAAACCCAAATCCAAATCCAAGCCACCAATCCCAAACAACAAACAAAAAACCCAAATCCAAATCCAAGCCACCAGTCCCAAACAACAAACAAAAAACCCAAATCCAAATCCAAGCCACCAATCCCAAACAACAAACAAAAAACCCAAATCCAAATCCAAGCCACCAATCCCAAACAACAAACAAAAAACCCAAATCCAAATCCAAGCCACCAATCCCAAACAACAAACAAAAAACCCAAATCCAAATCCAAGCCACCAGTCCAAAGCACCGACCTAAGCCACCAACCTCAGGGGCGTCTCCCCATTCGGCTTCGCTACGGCGGTCGGCACGTCGTCTGAGGCTTGGGCCCTTGAGATCCAAGCCAGGCTGCGACGCTTGGCCTTGGGCCTCCCAGAGGCGGCCCTGAAGGCTAGGTCCTCCAGTAGAGAGGTTAGAATCAGTTGGTACCAACCTTTTTATTTTTAATGCTTTTTTTGTTTTCTCCGATTTTGTCTATTTTAGTAGGGGAACCCTCCCCCACAAAAGGGTAAAAGGGCACTACTGGGGGACCTAGGATGACTAACAAAAAAGACATGTGGTCAAGGGTTTGGTCCCAGGAACACCCTGAAGAAGCTGTTTTCTTGTAGAATTTCCGGCAACCCAACACTCTGAATGTGGTAAATCCAGCAACTGGGAGGATAACGAACACAAGAACTTAGTCTGGAGGAGGATTGGCCGCACCCGCACCCTCCCGGACCCACGGTGAGTTGGTGGACGGCACACCGAGCAAAAAAAGCCATGGGATTTACCCACCTTGAAGGAACATTTCAAGGTGGCGCAAAATATCCTTTATTGGGTAAATGGGATGACTCTTCACCATCAAGGACTTGTGCCAACCAACTTTTTCCAACTGGAAAGAAAAGCCCTGACATTCTGGCCGCAAGGTGCAGCGAAGCCCATGTGGTCGGCACAAAGTAGGGATTGCCGACCCATGGGCTCCAGATCACGCCAGGTTGATCCGAATCATTCTGAAAGCTGGCAACTTAAAACCCAAAGAGTTAGATCCCAAAGGCTGGAAGCCGAATTTGATGAATATCCCAGAGATTGACCTCATGGCAGTCCTTGTGAAGAGACCCCTTTCCTATCCGAGTGCCCTGCGCAAATCTTGTCCACGCCCTGTTTTCTCTGTTGCTTTCCGGCGAATGTTGCTTGGAAGTTACTTACCTGAAAAGTGACCCAAGGGCATCAAGGTTCTCACGTTTGGGGCGAGGACAAGTTGAATCCCAGCAGCCTTCCGCACGCCAATGCAGCTGGCAATGATCCTACATGGCCCGAAACATGGCCCCTATTAGTCACTACTCGTCACTAGTCCTGGGTCCAGTAAAGTGACATCCACAAAATTAAAATCAAAATGATATGGTAGCTTAACAATGGCTCCCCTATCTACCCATCCATCCATCCATCCATCCATCCATCCATCCATCCATCCATCCATCCATCCATCCATCCAATCTCAATGTGTACGTATATTTATATATGAAGAATGTACATACTTTAAAATTCATATTGTATGTGCGTACGCAGTTACATATGCTTGCATATCAATATGTATGCATGTGTACATGCAATTTGGCTTGCACGTAAACTTCTGTAAACCCATCGCCTTGAAAACACGTGACACATCTGCCAATTTGTGACTGCGCAGTGTAAGGCATGGTGCAAGGTGCGTTCCCGCAACGAGGCATTGTACCAGAACCATGGCTCATAGTCTACTTGCTTGCCTGATGTCTTGATTGGCTTGATTGACAGTAGACACCTCAGCCGGCCTTTTATTTTGAAGGCGGTAGTATCTGTGTTGATTTAGAACTAGGTCCTCCAGTAGAGAGGTTAAAAGGGTGCCCTTTTTTCTGTAGTCTATTTTAGTAGGGTGTTTCCCCTCCCAAACAAAAAAGGGGTGAGAAAGGGCACCTAGCTGGGGGACCTAGAGAAGGTGGCAGAGGGGATGCCTTTGCTCGAGCCCGCCTCCCTCACGAGCCCGACAATGGCACTGGACATCGACTTTGGACGCTCGCTGGCCTCCTGGGTCGCGTCGCGCTCACGCCGTCAAACCGTCACTGGGTCAATCAATCTGCAGCTGCTTGGCTCCCCAAAATACGGCAAAACAAGACCATGTGTTCAGATTCTGTTTCGCACATTTAGCGAACCTAATACACAATAGAGGGTTCAAGTACCTTCTAAGGAGGTACTTAAACCACTTTTCACTCCCCAAAAGCCATCCTCAGGTGGTAGGATGAGTCCTCATCGAAGTGGGCTATAGCACACCACTCTCCGGCCCAGCTTGCCGCGACCAAGCCGCGACGAGAAGCATTGCTCGGGCATAGCCTGACACCTATACCTGGAGTCTCCATGACCACTCGCTTGCTGCTGAAAAGTTTAACTTTTGGTGGTAGTAATGGAAAACCCACTAGTTGGCCAAAAGTCAAAGTCCTAACGTCCAAGCAAAGTGACCAAAGACCCTTTAAACATGGGGGCATTACCCAACATTTAGGGGCAATGACCCCCTTTTTTCTGGCGGTCCTGGAGACCCTGCATGCCCAAGGCATGTTCGGACTCCGGCCGACATGCCTTCGGCTCTGACTCGCTTCGCTCCTCATCAGAGTTGGGATCCGAGAAGTAGACCTTCAGCAGCTCCCGCCGCGCCTCCGAGTCCTGGACGCGGTGAGAAAAACCCGCCCCGCGGCCCGCGGGCGTCGTGGCCCGTGGACGTGGGCGTCCGCCACCCAGGGGCAAAAAAAAAAACCTGCGGCGGGGGCGACGTCCATTTCGCACTACTTGGAAACCAGAACCCGTTGTTCGTTGGCGTGTATGGAATCAAATTATCGAATCCTTTCGGGTTTGCTAGGTGGTAAAGGATTTTGTCCACCCACAGTATGGACTGCTTCTGTTGGAAAGAACGACGGAGAAAAAATGAGGAATCAAGCCCTAGAGACTGTGGATGAACAGCATCCTGCAAAGGTTTCTAGGTGGTTTCACCCCGTACGGGGTTCATCCTCCATCACAAACGATGTCGTCCGGCCATGGACAGATGAGTTGGTACTCGTATCTTGAAGTTTGGCCGGCTCCAATGAAAGCGCCTAGATTTTACAGGACCAATCCACTGAGCTTGTGCGATCTTCGTCTCAAAGCTTTTGTCGTTTTTGGGTGGCCGGTCCATTCATGACACATTCACTGAGCATCCATCGCCTTTGGGAAAACCCGAGCTGGCAAACCGACCATCGACCCGGTTTGAACCACAATTCTGCTTCTTCCTGAAAAGGTAAACACTGGCCAGAGAGTTGAACCTCTCCCCCCAAAAAACAGTCAAAACAACAGCAATCAACAACAACAACTTTAAAAACTTCGGTTTGTTCCATTTAAAAAAAAAGAGGAATCCGCTCCTAGCTGCCGGAGGTGCAAATTCCGGCACCTCTGCCTTTTTCGGAGTTGGCCCAGGGCCCTTTTAAAACGCGAAACCCCAAGGAAAAAAGCCCTCGAAGCGTGAGCCGTGCCCAAACGAACAGCGCCGAACACTGGGGGGGTGCTACCACCTGCTTTCGTTGGGGGTATAGCAAGCCGAATATGTTCACCTCAGTCGCCATGGCAGACTTGCTTGCCCAGTTTGCAAGCTTCATTCGGGTTGAAAGGCTTCAACTAGCATGGTCTTCCCAAAAAGCATGCAGCAACTGAGAGACGGTTCTCTGGCAGGCGTAAAAAAGCTTTTACTCAGGTTCCGTTGGATTGGTGAGTTGGATTGCGTTCAAGGAGTGGTTTCCCATTTACCCTCTGCAAGGACCTGGGGTACACAATCCCCAAACCACCAATCGAAACCACCAACCAAAGGTTACCTGACATACTAGAGCCGATTGTAGTTTAACCCTCGGCACAGTCTCGAAAGCCCTTCTTGACGTAATTCATGTTGGCGATTACCCCCCCCAACAAAAACACAAAAAACAGAAGAAAAAAAGGGGCCGCCCCTCGCATCCACCTTCACGCGCATCGCTCGCATCGCTGGCAAAGCGCATCGCATCGCTCAGCGGCGGCCTCCGTGCTCAGGCAGCGGCTGAGCACCCGGTTCACCATAGGCACCTCCGAATTCAGCTCTCTCGGAGGGTCCCTCGGTACCTCCCGAGGATGGCTTTTGGGGGGTAAAAAGGGGCCGTTCAGTACCTCCTTAGAAGACCCTCTGCGATTAGGGCTGTGGAAATGACTACTTCTGCGATACATCAAAAAAAAGGCTTCCCAAAGACTAACCCCCAAATAAGATACATCAAAAAGGCTTCTTATAAAGACTAACCTCCCATATAAATGGCCCCTATCACAGAAGTGGGGATGAACCCATTGATCCCACAACCTGAGCTCGATGCATCGGACCTGGACCTGTTGGGGTCTGGATCTCCTTAGGTTTGAGCGCAGAAAGCGGCGAGAGTCTGAAAGCGAATGGGGGGAAAGCAAATGGCAAAACTCCCCCAATCCGGCTTGGTCATCCATTGTTTCCGTCGGGACGCACCCCCTTTCCCCCCCGACCGCTTGACACAACTCCAGCGACAAAGCCGCATTCCGTCATTCCACAATATGTCGAAAACCTGAAACAAGGGATCCCAAGGACCTACATCAGCTCGGTATTGCCCCAGCTCGCCATAGAGCTGTCCAAGTTTTTGATGGCCAGGCCCGATTGCGCCTTGGACTCGAGCTCCTGGTTGATGGTGTTGTAGAGAAACGTCAAAGCCCTCTCCTCACAAAAGCACTGCATCGGAAGGACAAATCCCACGGACACGCCCTAAAGGGAAGGTTCTTGGAACTTAGGAAGGCTACCTTAAACCCACCTCCCACCACAAGCCCACCAGACCTACCAAACCCCCACCCCCGTCCCAACACCAGCCTGAACCCAAAACTATTGCAGCATAAGAAGCACCGCATTCCGCAGAAGCTGATTTAAGGGATCCCCAGGTCAAGGACCTTTCTCATGGCTTTCGCTCCCGGTATCCCGAACCGGGGAGCTCGCTATAGGCAGATTGCCTCTTCGCCAAAGGCCCGGAGAACTTCAGCCGTACGCAATGGGAGATGGCCCTTGGGCCAAAACGCCACAAACCTCATGGCTTGCCACGCACAAATGGTCTTCCCAAAAGCCACTCCACCCTCGAAGAGGGCAGGCCTTGGAGTTCCATTGGGGGGGAAAGGGTACCTAGAAAGAGGAAAAAGGTCACTGAACCTCTGAGGAAACACAAAGCCCCGGAGAAAGGCAAAAGTTGCCCAGAGTTTGAGTCAAGACATGCGCTCAAGATCTCTGGAAGATCACACTGTTGATTGCCCACCCCGCGAAAGCAGTCTTCCTAGGGTGCACTGAACTGTTCAACGTCTCAAACACTGCAGCGGGCTGCAGTGCCATGCAAATTTCCTCAATCCACAATTTTGGTATCTGTCTTTCCATGTACCCTTGTGCTTTGACGGTTAAAGGAAAACAAAAAACTGGACAGCCACGACTTTGGGGGCTTGGGGTCCTTCTTAGACACATGCCCCTTAGGTCTTCGCGGCTCGCGGCTCCATCTGCTGGTTGCCAGACTTCTGAGCCCTGCCGATGTTCATCTGGAGCACCTTGGCCGCCAGAACAGCGGCCAAGCTGTCGCCTGGTTGCCCTGGCCCGCCTCATTAAAACCAAAAAACAAAACGCAAATCATGAGGTTCTGTTCCTCAGTTCTGGGAAAGAAAGGGAACCCTTTCTTGGGAAGACAATTTTTAGTGGCGCAGCCACCAAAAAGAAGAGGAAAAAGGGTGCCACGGAAGAACCGAGGTTCATAGCATTTCGTCCGCCCCAACCGTTTGAAATGGCTTTCAGAAGGCCCCTGTGGACCAAAAGGAAGTAGAAGCTCTTGGGGCATTGAGGTGACCTCTTCAAGTTCAATGACGTCAAAGGAGAAAGCTGGCGTCTTCAGTGTTGACTCTGGATTCATCCACTCTGTTTCCCCAAAAACATATCAAAAATTCAGTCAGATGGGAGCAGGTGTGTATCTCGGGGCGGCAACTACCCCACTCTACCAAATGATGAACTCAAACCCGGAGCCCCTGGAACAACAGACAATTGCGCCATGACACGACATCTCAACAATCGGCATTGAGGACTGCCGAGCAGTGTGCTAGCGAGAGCTTTTCTGGGTTAATTTCGAGCAAATGCAAACATTGCTGGGACTTGAGGTTTTTTGGCGAGATTTCTGGACAAATTGCAATCAACATCAGCCCTTTGAGGGGATTCCACCAGATGTCAGATTAGCGCCCTTCCAAGTCAAACTCTTTGCCGCGTGGGGAGAAAAACAAACATCTTGGACCAAAACCTAGGTGAAAGAACCCGCCCAATAGCCAAGAACTTTTATTCCTGGCTTCCGCTTCCTTCCAAATTGGACACGTAGCTGGGTCCCCGGGCCGCAACCAGGGGCAGCACGCTCTCCTAATTGGTTCATCCATGTGATTGACCCCTCCCCCGTCCATGGAAGCTGACGTTCCGGGGGGGGGGAAGACGATGTTGATGTTCCTTCAAAAGGGACTCTCTCTGGTTCCATGTTAGACCCAGAAGAATACCAACACCCAGAATTGCTCAGCGATGGTGGAGAAAGGGAGGTTGGTTTAGCACTTTTTGTGAGGACTGCAGGAGAAAGGGATTTAGAGGACGCCACTGAACAACTAGGAATATGGGTCATTCCCATGCGTACTCCTGATTTCCATTTGAATACAACTAAGAGGTGGTCTGCCAATTTGAGAAACTCCCACGAATATCCCCTCTCGTTTTGAAGGGGATTTCCTTAGTACAGAAACCAACCTCAAAAGTTCTCCACATGCCCGCGATCTCAATGCAGGGTTATAACCTTCATCTAGCTGAGTCTGATTGCTCAGCGGTTCTCATCCCACAGGTTGGTCAAGTTGCCCAGGGACCCTGGTGAAAAAGGAGGGCTTCTGCCGACCAAACAAAGAACAAAGACAATACGAGCACCCTCCCCCAACTCTGTCCAACCCCATGTTCAAACTCCCAGACTCCCAGATGTCAAAACAAAATACGCAGGGGATGCCCCATGCAAAAAAGGGGGATAAGTCGGATTCCCAAACCAGAACCAACGGATGCTTCTGGTTGCAACTGGGCTGAACTGATCTTGCAACCCTTCTGGGTGAATTATAATATTTCACCAACCGGAATATTCCCCACAGAAACCACCATTTGGGGTGAATTCGGTCGTGTGAGGTCGTTATAATTCACCCAGACCCATTCCCCATCCCACGACCGCCACACGTTTTTTGCCGTTTTGGACCCGCCTGGCGCGCCAGGCACTGCCGGATGTTCTCCTCGATGTCGCCCGAGCTCTGCATCAAGGCCTTGACAAGCGGAGGCATAACTCCTTTTGGGTCCAAATGGAAACCCGGAATGATTCCTTTTCCATTCTTTTCAACCATCGTTCTTTTCGAAAACCAGTTGGTTCCCCAATAATTTGGGTGGTTTTGTAGAAAGAAGGATGCCTGGAAAGAATGGGGAAGGTACCGTAGGGAAAATGGCCCGGTTTCGCTGGCTTTCAACACCACCCAGAACCATTTGGGTACCCTGAAAGAAGATCCATTTGTTTACTCCAAAAAACAAATGACAAGTGGCCTATACATCAGGTTTTCCACAAAAAGACATACCGATGTGTGTCCAAAACCTGCCAAGCCGTTGCATGGTGGCGACCTCGTGCCCCCCCAAACCCGCCAAGAAACAGGAAGCACAAATCACATCACTCATAGGAGGTGTTTTTTTTTCGACCAAGGGGTCATGTGGAGAGTTCATAAATTAAGCATTCCATGCAACTGAACATGGCACACAACAGCGGGCGGCCTTGAGGACCTGCACAATGGATTCAATCCCTTCGTTCCCCGGACCTAAAAGCAAGCCCTCTTGCGGTGAAGGCCTCGTTCTCTTGAAGTCTCCCCCACAAATCCCATCGACGGCGAAGGCCATGGGTTTCCCTGGGGTTCCAAAGGCGGTTTATTTTGCATGCTTTCTGTGAAAGGCGGTTTTTTGCCAGGAGTAGTTTTGTCAAGCTCAGCTAATATCATTGAACAATTCGGGCGCCGCACGTGCTCAGGACCAAAGTGTGCAAAGACTTGACCTCCGTTCCCACAAAACAAGCGGAGGGATTATCAAAGGACAGGCTGAAACACATAGATTCACCGGTGTCAAAATTCACGGCAGAAAACGTGCTTTCACGCTGAAAAACAGGCTTTCACGCCATTTTCACGGTATTTTCACGGTGATTTCACGCTACTTTTGCGTACATGACGGACCGCTATGTTCACACCAAAGCTGTTGTGTCAAGACATGTTGGGGTGAAACTGGCTTTGTACAATCTAAACGTGGCAACAGCATGAATAATCCATCAAATACCACGCCATGGCTCACTGCAGGCGCAAAAAACAGGCGTTAGCTGCAAAAAACAGGCGAGGTGCAAAGGACGTTTAAAAAACAGTCGTGGATTTCCAGGGGTTTCATTGCATGTTTTGTGGTGGGGGTAGAAGTTGCAAAGTGTACGCCCGCAGTGGGCCGGGTACATACATCCTAGCCGTATATTCCCCAGTGACTTTACACAATGGGTGGCTCTCAAAAGAACAATGGCTCCGAGAATCAGGAATCAAAACTTAAACCCATGCAACGTCTTCAAACTCCGCCCTTGTCAGGCGCCATTTCCGGCCTCAACGTCCTTCATCGCGCCGCCCATGCGAGACCTAGGTCTGACATGAGGCAATGATTCAGAAGGGAGGAAACAGTTGGTATGGAACCCAGCAAAGACTCCCTCAGTCAGTCCCTCTCTTAAACATGCCAAACTAGCAGAAAACACAAATCATCAGCTCCTGTTCTGAGTAAAGCACCCTTCAAGGAATCCCTGTATGTCCAGGAAAATCGAGCCACTAAACTAGGTGCGTATGACTCGTCTAATATCGACCTCTTAAAGAAAACGCACCAAACATGCCGTGGACAGTCTCAACGCAAAGGCACTCCCTCTTCAATGGCGCCCAAACAGTTTGAGGGTCCCAAGCATGTTCTTCGCCAAAACCGACTCACTCCAAAAAACATGCTGGAATCAGAATCTTGCAAGGGCCCCTTGCCTTTCGTGGGCCCAAACCACCAACTAACGGGTACTGACTGGGCTACTCCCAGATCCCCTGCTAAACTACCACCAAAGCAACTAACAACTAAACCTAAGGAACTTAAACAAAACTACTAAACTAACATCAAATGGCCATGGAATCCCCACTAAAATAGACTAAAATGGGTGGTGCACCTACCCCAAAATGGGATCCCATAGGTTTCGACCCACAGACAAATGGAAACAACCACTACACCAACACATCAAATGGAAACAACCTAAAACAAACTACAAACTAACACCTTGGCGAGAGTTCTCAAGTTATTGATTGGTGTTAGGACATGAGAGTGAAACCAAACTAAACCAACTCCAAGCAACGTAAAACCCCAGGGAGTCGGATGCCCGGAAACCACCAAGAAACGACTCTCTTAGCGACTGACTCCATGGACTTCTGGACGCTCACAAACAGCCGCTCCAGCGTCTGCCTGCGGATGGGATGCCAGGGGTAGGCTGCATTGGGCGATGGGTGAGGGCACGTATTACGGGAGGTTATAGTTCCCAGAGGGTCCAAGCACGTTCTAAGGAGGTACTTAGACCCCTTTTTACCCCCCAAAAGCCATCCTCAAAAGGTGCTTGGACCCTCTGGGGTTGGTCACAGTAAGTTGTAGCAAGTTGTAGGTTATAGGATATACTAGGTTACAGTAGGTTACAATAGAGCATAATAGGTTGCGGTAGGTTACAGAAGGTCACAGTAGGTTATAGCAGGTTGCTATGTAGGTTGCAGCAGGTGGCAGGATATGGTAGGTCGCACTGGGGTTGCAGTAGGTTATGAAAGTTATACTGGGTTGTAGTAGGTTCTAGCTAGTCTGTTTCCGGAAGCTACATGGGGGTACGTCAGGTACATGGTTAGGTTAGCAACCACGGCTGTAAGTCCCCTGAAATATTATAAGCATGAAGGCCAAACGCTCACTAAGTACCCCCTTGCTACTTTAAGTAAAGAAGACATTTGCCTTGCACCGTTGGATTCTAACAAATGGGGTCCTTGGGGATGCGTATTAGGTCTTCTCGCCACCTCTCACTTGCCCATGCTCCAGTATGCTTGGAAGAGCCAATGACTGCGTCCCAGGCCATAGCGGATCATGCGAAACACACAACCCTAGGCAGGACTGCGCGGAAAAAGCCAGCTTCGGGAATGCAAGCCTACAATTTCAAGTTTAAAGAAGGGTTAGACAGCTTCTCGGAAGGGTGGCTCGTCGTTTTTTTGGGTACCCCTTTTTGTCTTTAAAGGGACACCGACAAATGAACACCATTGCGCTGTTTCGGGGTAAATGCTGTGAGACAGACCCATGTTGAAGCCGCTTTCTTAGAGGGGTTCCTCGGGGTTCTGAGAAAAGTAAACTGAAGAACCCTCTCTGCGCTCACGAGGGGGCCAAATGTCTAACCCAAAAAGGGCGTTGAAGCCGAACACGCGCGCGCGCCTCCCAGTTGAGTGACCCTCGTAGAGAAAGGAACCCAATTTTTTCATGGATGAGGGTGCCGCTGAACTGCTCAAACCCTGGCCATTGGGGAATGAAACTGGGTTCGCCTTGTCTTGGACTTTGAAGGGAACTCCCCTCCCCAAAAAAAGTTGAATAAAAAGGCACCATCGAGAAGGACGCATCGGAAACTGGGATTCGGAAACTACCCGCGCACAAAGGCACCACCTGGTGCATGGGACTTGGTCATTCACCTTTTTGTCGCCAGTCGGTGAGATCCCAGTGCAGTGAAACGATGGGAAGCCGTTCAGCTGCCACTTGGTCTGCGAAGACCTTGCCAGCGTCAGGAAAGCTCATGAGAAAGGGGTTCCCATATGGGAACCCAGAATTGACAAATGGGGACCCCGGATTCATCAACCCCGGTTTATAGGGGGGTGTCCCTGGGAACCATCACTTTTGGAGAAGAACTTCCCGTTTGTTGATAGGAGGGGTTCATGAATCCGGGGTCAACATTAACCCCGTGATGAATAGGGGCGAGCCGGTTTTCAAAGCCTTCAATTTCAGGCACCTCCCTATCGACCACTCATGAGCGGTGACATTTCACTGGAATGCCCCGATGGCTAGCACACGGGCTTTCCATTGGAAGTGGACAGGGGGCCTTTCAAAAGGACTGCCTTCCTAAATCCTCCTGTCTGCTCTGGTTGTTTGTAAGGGTAATTAAGCCATGCAAGTGAAGTGCTCGCCTCCCATATGACACAATAATATCAACTGTTACATGCGAGAAGGGCATCCGAATGAAGGCCAATGAAGGGAGCAACAAACGAGGCACAAATGCACACAAACCAACATCTCTCCCTGACTAAAAAGAGTGTGGCACCAGCCCTTTGGTTTCCCTTTAGTTTCCCCCCACGGCAACAGTGGGGATTCTGAATTCCCCTTGGGGCGGAACGAAGCTCAGACTGTTTGACTAAATTGCACTTCAAACGAATCCTCTTCGTAGGCATCCCCCCCAACCCGGACACACATGTGAACCAAGAATGTCCAAATAAAATACGGACACGGAAAAGCACGCGTCCGGGATACGCACAAGCGGGTGGTTGCAAACCGGTCCAGCCGGACAGGCCATTCACATCAGCAAAGGGCAAGTCTAAGCAAACTGCAAAGCATGCGTCCGGGCAGTGAGCGAGACGGATGCTGCAAAACAACCCATCTCGGACAAGTTGGGATCCTCTGGGAACAGGACTGTCAGGCCTTTTGCGTCACCCCACGCCCGGCCCCCCCCAAAAAAAAGAGAACTCAAGCAAAGCCCAGCTTTCTACTTATAGAGTACCCGGCAAAAGACACATGCACACTGTTGCGGCATTGTTGTGGCTAGGTGTCACCAAAATACACAGACCATTGTGTCCTTGCTTTTCTTCCAGTACAACTGCAAAGGCCGCGCTAAATGGGGATTGCTCCTTGCACGGCGTCCTGGGAACTTCACGCGGGAGGGCTATGCTACGGGCGGGTAGGGAATCTGTCTGGATCTTGAGCTGGTGCGTGCTGAAAACAAGCAAGGAATCGAACCTGAGAGAAGCCTCTTCGAATGCATCGAAATCCAACCGGGCGTGTTGGTTCTCAGGGACTTGCCCCCCAAAACCTTTGGAATAGTTGCGAAGCGGAATGACACTTACTTGGAACACACCCATCTACCTCCAAGGGCGAAGGAAGCCGGATGCCCAGCCCACTTAGATGGTGCTGATCACCAACTCAATCTCACTTGCCCCAAAGATCTGCGAATACCTGGAAAACCTTTCAACTTGCACCAAACGCACAAACAACAAAAAAAGTCAGATCCGGCCAATTCAATTTGCACAACTGAGAACAAGCCCCCTAAGTGGGATCTACGTGCAGCGCACTTAGGTCACTTCTTCACTGGGGATACCCACCATGTGGGCTGAGTGCTGCCAAGTTGCAGTCCTATGGTCCTGTCCGGCGCGCTCTGGGTGAGTTGCCTCAGCTTCCCCAAGTCTGATTCCGCCCCCTCCCACAAAATAATGCCAACAAAAAAGCATTGGTGCTCTTCGAGTAGTGGAGTTGCACCCCCCCCTCCCTTTTGGAAGGACCGCCGCTTGATTGTTGGTTTGGCTTGGCTAATCGAGGCAACCCGCACCTCCGCAGAAAACAAAACTTTCTTGAAGAGACACCATCCCGCCACGTTCGAAAAACAAAAAAAAAACAAGGCTTAAAAACAACCCTCTCCCAAAAAAAGCACCCCCCCCAAAATATATATATATATATATATAACTCCCCCCCTCAATAAAGGAGACAAGAAAGAGGGACACGAAGAACGCCATCGGATCCACTTTCGGCATAGGCCCCAGCCTATGCCCTGCTCCAGCTGGCTGGCGAAGCTCTTGATCATGGTTTGCACCGCTTCGAACTTCTGCTCCTGAACCCCCATGGGTGACCCGTTGACCCATATTACTTCTGGCTTGCTGCTGACCCGCCTGCAAAAAGTGAACAACTTTTTGTGGGTTTAGTGGAAATCCCGTTGGTTTCAACCAAGCTATAAACCATCCAACTGGTGGTTTCCTTAAAAAGGTACCAAAGCCTAGGTTCATTTTCTTATTCCCTCATTCCCTGCTGAGCACCGACAAGTAATACTGTGGATGGTTGCGAAATCCATTTCGCACCACGAAATGAATTCATGGTTGAAACCATTACTTGTTGGCATTTACGGGGGGAATCATCCTTCCGGGGTTTCTTGGGTGGTGCGAAATGGATTTCGTCCACCCACTGTATTACTTAGCAGGGAATGAGGGAATAAACCTAACGGTAGCCTTCAAGGAAACCACAAGGGATGGTTTATAGCGGGTCCTTCCCACATTTCCTCTGAGCACCAGCAGGAGTAATCAACCCCAGTCTATAGCGGGGGGTGCTTCTCCCTGGGTGACATGTGGTTGGAATCAGACCGGGCCAAACACTGATTCATATGGGGTCAACATTGACCAACCTCCGTGCAGCCAAACCAAGTCTCGAACTCTGGCGTAGACAAAACTGTCAACAGAAACACCCGTCTATATCTGAAACCGAACATGGCGGGCCTGCGGCAGTAGTAAGTGGGATCCACTGGCCACGGATTGCATATTGCATATCTGGCAACAGTTGTGCGTGTGTTCGCCGCACACGGAAACGATAAAGCAATGTCTTTGCAAAGGAGGACCTCTTTTGAGGTTTTCTGAGTTTATTGTTGATCCATCCTAACTGGATTTCGACCTGCCGGAGAGTCATAACTCCACCTCAGTCCTTGGTATCCATCTTGCCCACATAGTGGCGTCGCACGTGTTCCGTTCGGACCTGCAGATTGACCAGGATTGGGCCAACCCCCCCTCCCACCTGTCTCTCACTTCCTGGGTGCATTGGCCAAACAAAGTCTGAACTGTTTGCTCAGGGTCTAAGTACCTCCTTAGAAGGTACTTGGACCCTCTGGGGTGTATTGTTTGCAAAAGGTCTAAGGAGCTAAAGTCACACCAACAACCTGCGACAAGCTAAACCAACAAAACACCGCCCATCCAGAATTGAATCAACTGCATTAACTCAGTTGGTTTTTTTTGCGATCCAGAGGGCCAACTAGAATACAGGCTTCAGGGTCATGTCTGCTTTCAGCGTTTACTCCTCATTCGGGCATATTAACCGGACGTTGGTGCTCGCGATCATCTTGCCGACAGACCAACCCCCAAAAACCCCAAAGAGTAAGACCGTATTTGGACTAAATATGGTGGTGTCTATTCGTAAGGGGACCTCCCAAAAGCATGTTCCTTTTGGCTTCTAAAGAAAGACGAGCCACCCATGTGTCTTCTTCACCCTGAGCCGTCCAAGTCTTTCATTTGGAGGGGCGGTCCGAACAGGGCTCCCTGCACTCACCTTTTCAGCATCACCCCCCCAGAGAAAACTCACTTTACACCGGGCCGACAAATGTTTGAACCAAGCCGAAGGGAAAACGTGGACCCTCTCCGCAAATGGTCAGGTTTTGTTCTTTCCGCACTCCGGGAAGTGCGAGCCTCGGTGTACCAATTCATGAAGATGTGCATCTTGGTGATGTCCTCCCAGGTCTGTGGATTTCCGTGGGCCAAAATGCACCCTCTTGTTGGTAGGAAGGAGCCCCCCAAAAAAAAGAACAAACAAAACAAGCTGGTAATAACAAAGCTTGAATAGACAACCCACGGCAAACGGAAGGTTTTTTTTTTTTTTTCCGGGGGGGTCCCCTTCCAAATTTGTCCCCCAAATGTCTCCTCTTCGATGGTGCAGGTTCGCTTTGCCCTGCTCATGGCCACCTCCTTGCGCCTGGCTCACAAGGTGAGAAGTGACCCGGAGCTGTCCAGCCCATCGAGCTTGCCAACCATCGGAAGTCTGGGCGCAGTTGGACCTGCTCCAAGCAACATGGAGCCTCTGCAGCGTCCTTTGTTGACCACAGGAAAAAGAAGTGAAAACTGCCCTCAGAGTGGGCGCCAGGGAAGGGTGCCCCAGGCTTTCAAGCCTCCCTGGAGTCTCCGTGACCCTTTGAAAATGGTTGGTCATTACGCAAATAAATGGGTCATGGACGATTTTTTGAAGGTTCATGGAGACTCCAGGACCCTTTAACCGGAAGGCCACAGACTGGAGGTCTTCGCACATTGCGGGTCAAGCATCCAAGACCTAGGCGCTCAGGGTATGTTTTGCAGGTACCTTCGGAGCGAAGGGGCAACCAAAAAGAGCGGAACTCCTGGCATAGCCGGAGTTGACACTGTACCATGCCATAATGAAAACAAAACACTCAAATGTGACTCTCACGGACATGAATCAACACCTACATGTCCACCAAAGTGTCCTTAAGATTTAAAAAAAACAAAAACCAAAAAAAAACATCACACCCATATAAGGGGCCATCACCCTGTCAACTAGCCACTTCCCGGAACCCTCCCTTGCCTGTTGGTGATACTGTCCAAGTGTTCCTTCTGAGCGACGACTTCTGCTTCCTCGGGCGATCAGAAAAACGACACCAAACCACAGGCGTCGGGATTTGACCCTGTTGGTCTCTCGCCTTCCAGGTGCCTTTCACCGCCGTGCGAAAACAAAACAAACAAAATCGCGTAGGCGGATCACGGCAAAAGATTAAGGAACCCCCAAAGCGCAAAGAGGGGAAACACAGGAGAGATTCGCCTGGTGCCAATTTTGTCGATTTCCACCTTTTTTTTGGGGGTTCCATGTGTTTTTTCGTCGCACATGCAGGGGGGCAGCTGGTTGCAACGTATTCTGCACAAATTGGAACTCAAGGGTGAGATACTTTCGGATGCGAGATGTGACATGTGCCCAATTCCCTTGCTCAGGTTCTCTGCCACTACCAGTTCCCTTGCAGGGGACTCCAATCACAAGGCATCCGGGTTGCAACCAACACTCCAAGTATTTCAGACCCAAACCCATGAAACCTTTGACATGTCCGGGGTCAAACATATCTAACCCCTTTTGGGCCTTTGGGAAAGCCTGCCTTTGGGAGTCCCAAGGGATGACTTTGAGCTTCGATTTGTCCGCCGAGAGGTCTCTCGGAGGCCCTCTTAAAGGTTTGGGGATCGGATCTTCAGGCGGTCCCATGGGGCGGTTGATGCTAAGCGGAAACCTTGTTTTTTTCTTGCTCATCCTTCCATCCCCCGCCAAAAAAAGACACAACAAAAACACAACAACACACACACACACCAAAAAAAACATGTCTGTTTTGCTTATCCTTCCCCATAAAGGGAAAACAACCAGAACTCTTCCGCCCCCTTCCGCCATTGCAGTGGCTCTACCCGCTGCTCGACTTGTTGCAGGCTGGTGGGATAAGCCCTGCCCCAAAAATAGGTCAAACAGCTTGCCTGGAGTCTCCATGACCCTTTCAGAAAAAGGGTTCGTCTAATGACAAGGGGTCATGACCCCAGTTTGGACTCACTTGCCCAAAGGACCTGCAAACTAAAAGGTCCAAAATGGAAAACCCATGTTGGTTAGATCCGGTCGATGTTTGAACAAATGAGTTAACTGGGCTGTCCTCCGATCCCCTGCTAAAAGTTTAACTCCCCTTATAAGGAGGGACCACCCCCCTTTCCTTTTGGCAGGGTTTATTGAGCCGAGTAAGCTCTGAAAAGCTAAACCGGAACCGGATGGCTGGGTGAACCCTAGCCATCCCCTCCATACGTGCCACCAGAAACACACTGTTTTTGAGGTTTTTCAGGCCAACAAACCTAAAACGTGTTGGCCCTGCCATCAAATACCAACTACCCAGTTAAAGAACCGGATGGCTGGGTGAACCACCCAGATGAGTAATCCAACTCCACCGCCAAGGTGCCAACTCCTTACTCCTGCGCTCCGCCTGGTACTCCTCCGTCCAGCAATCGAAGACTTGCGCCAGGAGGCCTCTGCAATTTGGGCCCCACCGGCTTCATGTGGCTGTGGGTCAAACATAGGTACCCCAAAAGAACCCTGGTACGTGGAAACATGGACCAAAACCTGCGGTCCCCTGGTGGTTTAATCTTGACCCATACCTATGTCAAAAAAAAACTCGCTGCGCAAATCCGCCAAAACCGCTGCAAGTATACGCTCTTTGGACAGTACCAAGGGGACCTTGGACCTGGGGAAAAAAACAGTTCTTGGGGGCTGGGCACCCAAGTATGGGGTCCCAATACTCATGGTGAAACCTAGACCTGCTGCCTGGGCGGGTTGAACCTCCAAGTGGGGATCTGCCTTGCTCACTCTCATTCTGCATCCGCATCAGCATCTCGCGGGCGTTGTCCGTCTTTCGTCTCCTAGGCTGAGGGTCAGGGCCCAAGGCGAGCGACCGCCAGAAATTGCCTTGCTCTCGTCGTGCCTTTGGGTTTCACCCAAGGCTCCCCAAGGAATCATCTTGGCTGAGTACTAGAATTCACTGATCCCTCCAAGGGGAGCTCTGTGAATTCGAATTCGCCACCTAGATGAAATACTCCCCACCTCAAATTGGCAATCTCACCAAGATTGGTGCAGAGTTATCCAAGAGGGGCACTGAATGCTGTGCATTGGAAGGTCTCTTGCAACAAAATCCAATGCACGGCAATTCGGCTAAGGACACCGCCTTAAATGAAGGGTTCACCTTTTGTGACCAAACCACGGGAACCTAATTGTCAAAATGTTGGCTTTGGGCAAGTGGCTGTGAATTTCAATAAGGAACCACCATAAAAGTCGTTGGTGGACATGAATCCCCACCAATTTCTGATGTCCACCAAAAGGGTCCCTAATCAAAATTCGTGCCCAAGCGGGTGTGGCACAAAATTAAACCGCAGGATCTAGTCTTTACAAAATATACAAAGGCACCATTTTGGGGTTTCCTGCTGGTACTCAGTAGGGGGTCACTTGGTAATGAACCCAGGGATTCGGGAAACCAAAGGAAAACCATGGACAACCGCTGGCAACGCCATGTTTTGCGGGTTCCGAGTCCTAACCAAAAAACTAAACTAATATTAAGACCCCAGCAAAAAGTAGCAAAACCAAAACCACCAGGGGAGCTACTTCTGGGGGAAGAAAAGGCCAGCCCGCGGCTCGAGCGAAACGCCCCGCGGCTCCGCGCGAAATCGAAACGCCATCGAAACGCTCGCGCTCGGCCAGGCGTCATGTACTCCTTGACCTTCTGCTCCGAAAGCTTCACCGCGTCTTCGAAGGCCTGGAGCTCTGGAGATTCGAAGCGTTCGAAGCGTAGGAGCACCCCGGCTGGGTATGGGGCAAAACCAAACCACCAGGAGTTGGACCGCAGGTTTTAGTCTTTGGTTCCATTTACCAGGGCAAGCCGTTTTGGGGACGCATTTTTGACCCACTGCCGGCTGGAACCGACCCACAGCCGGCTGGAGCCACACCCGAGATGAGAATTCCGTGGCCTACTTTTCTTTGTGCCAAGGAAGCCAACAGGTCGGGCCACCCAAAGGGAGATTGCTCTATAGTGAGGTTGGCAGGAAGTAGGATTCATCTATACTTTGTTGCTGTTGACCCCTCTGCAAAAAGTTTAACTTTTTGTGGGTTTAGTGGAAAACAGACACTTGATTTTCCAAAAAGTCAAAGTCTAAAGATCCAACCCAATAGCAGTCAAGTTTAAGGTTTACGAATCCAGAGTCAACATCGTGGTCGGACCTTCCCCGGGTTGCCTTTTGCACCGCACCAAATCTGCTATTTATCCGTATGTTGGTCAGTTGGGTGGGGGGGGAAGGGTGTTGATTCCTGCAAGAATTGACTCATTTCTCGGTGGCTTCCCTGTCGGCCAAAAGGTTGTTACTGTCTTCTTTTGAGGGCCCCCCCCATGCTATCTCATGATATGCCCTGAAACGCATCACCTTGCTTCACTGGCAGCTAGCCGTTTTGCCCGGCTCGTACTCATCGAGGCTCCATGCAGAATCATGCAGGCTTCTTTCGGCTTTGACACTCTTCACGAAGAGGCTGAGTTCTTGACCTACCCACAAGGTCCAAGTACCTTCAAAGGAGGTACGTAGACCTCTTTTTTAGCCCCCCAAAGCCATCCTCAGGAGGTACTTGGGCCCTCTGGGCTAGGGAAGGTGCCATCAATGGCCTTCGTCAGCACGTACAATGACAGGCAAACGTTGTCGCGCAGGCGGAAAACACAAAGCTCGCACTCACCGCCCATGTCGACCTCTTGACTCGACCTTCCGTTTGCTTTCCCATTTATTTTTTGTGTGTATAGTCAAGATATGTCAAGATCCAGGGCGCTTGCCCAAGCATTCAGGAATTAAGAAGGCTCATTGGGCCTGAAGCATTGTGATCTGTGCTATGTGCCAAAAACAGGTCTTCCCGTCCCAAAAAGTAGCAGCGAATGAGAACCGGAATAACCCTTACAAACCATCCAACGGGTGGGGTCCTTTGAGGGGACCAAAGCCTGGGTTGATTCAACCACATTCCCTACTGTTCACAGCAGGAGGGAGATTGCTGGTTGCCTCTGGTAGCAGCTGACGCCCGCTGGTTCTCAGTCACCAAGGCTCAATCGGACAAATCTGCGCGCCTTGTTCTTTCTGTAGTCCTCCAGCCAGTTGACCCATGCTCCAACGCACAGGGCCACAAGCGCTTCCTCCACCCCCGCCGTCATCCGGGTCATGCTGCTCTTGGCGGCTGCCTTCCTCAAGCCGAACGACAAAGAAATGTGGTGGATCCCAGTGTCAAAGGGGTTGCGGGAACATTTTTACAAGCTGTTTTCCCGTAGAATTTCCTGTAACCCAACCCTTTGACAGCAGGATGCCATGGAAAGGGCACCCCTTCGGTGACTTCAGGAGCACAAGTGGCACAGGGAGAGCACCCGTGAGACGCCTGGCCTCTGGACCGCTTGGTCTCAGGCTTCTTTTTGGGGGAAATGCATCTCAAAAGGCCCAAAAAAGCAGAAATAAAGGTTGACGCTGTGTGGCCATGACCAAAAATTGGACCAAACCAAAGGGTCAAAAGGTGGGCGGCGAGCAAGTGAGGCGTGCTTTGGTTTGTTGACTCTGTGTGGATGTGGCCTCGGAACCTCCCAAGCACAAAGGAACCTCTCTGCGGATTCACTGTGAGTGCTAAAAAGTGTCAAAGAAGGAGATCCGGACAGGACACCGGCAATGCGCCGATTCGCGGCTTAGGCCTCTCTTTGGACCTGGTTAGATGTGGACTGTGGTGTGTTTTTGCGCCATCCCAAGTCCTTTGCCCCAAACCTCCAGTGGCCAGGGGGCAAAGGATACGTACAAAAACAAACACGTCTCATGGGTCCGTCTATTCTTAGCAAAACGGCTTCGGTTGTCCTCTTGGTTTCCACGTAAAACCACCAGAAAAAGGGATACCCTAAAACAAAACACCTTTGGTCTGGCAATGAGGGCTGATTTTTGTTTCTCCCGCCGGGCTGCTGCGTTTCCTTGGCCTGCGAGAACCTGCTATGGGCCGCGTGCAGCTTGGCCTGCGGGAAGGCCGGACACTCTGGGCGATCGAGTCGGTACGTCAGGTTCCCTCCCTTCCACTAACATGGCACCTCTGGGAGGGTACCTGGAAGATTGGTTCCTCTTCCAGGCACCCCATGTCTGGTGCTATGTTAGTTGGAGGGGTAAGTGGTTGACAACCATGGAGCAACCTTAGGACCTTGGTTGCTGGAACGACCCCTCTGCAAGAAGCTTAAACTTTTTGTGGGTTCAATGGAAAACCCCTTGATGTCAACCCAAAAGTTAAAGTTCAAGGATCCAACCCAACGGCAACCAAGGCTATAAACCCAAAATTGGCTAAGTACCTGATCACCCCTTTAAGTAGAAAGCAGGTGCAAGAACCCAGGTCTTTGTCAGGGGGCCAGTCTTCACCTCTGGATTTTGGGTTCATCTATCAATTGATTCGGACCAATGGGTTCACACTGCATAATCATTTACATAGATTGCTTTTCAAAATTAAGAACCCTCCAGGTGGTCAAACTTGTTTTGTCCATCAACCTTTGGCTTGCCAATTTTTGGGCACAACCCAAATGAGACGGTGAATCTATTAGCTTGAGCGGCAAACAACAAAGGCCATCAACCTAAGCCCGTCTTTAAACAAAGCCGTGTGCTCGGCAAAAAAGCGGGTCAGGCTTGGCTCTGCAGTTTGTTTACCAAAGCACAGCACCCAAACTGGATAAAATCCGAGACAAGTTGTGTCCATTCCACACTCTCAAGACCTGGGCTCACAAAGTTGAAAAGTTTGACCCCGAACTCGCCGTCCCTTCGATAAACACCACCTATTCCTATTACACTTTGCAGTTGTTGTTTGTTTCATGCGCTTTGCAGGTTTTTTGTTTTTAAAACACAACTTTTCATTCAGAAAGCAATGCAGCCCCCAGGCGCAGAACTGACTCCGTGGTTTGGAGGTGTGAATTTTCACATTGCCCAACTTGCCACCCTCGAATGATGGTTTGCCCGCACCGCCAACGCAAGGGCAATGCATCTGAAACATGGGTGTCTTTCTTGAAATATGTGTGTGTCCCAAAATAGGATAGCCCCATCCCCCCGAAAAAATGGACTTCGGCGTGTGGTTTATTCTTGAACAGCCCCAAGTAGTCTGGAAATTGAGTCCTTCACTTCAGACATCAGCCACTTTCCAGAACTCCCGGCGTAACGGCTCCCTTCCAACCACCTCTTGGTTGACGTTGGAAAGGGAGCAACAAATTAATTTTTAGCAGTTAGGTGGGGATTTCCCACTAAACCGCAATAAGCAAATATGTAGAATGTTCCCAGCAACAACCATGACCTAGCGAACTTCCGGAGCCTCAGTTTCCCTGGACTCCTTCTCGAATTGCAGGAACCGCTTCCAAGCCCCCAGCGTGTCCGTGAGCAAAGCTTCCTGAGATCGAGTCCGTGCTTGGTGGCCCTAAAAACATGACTTCTTGGGCCACTAGGCGAGATTTTGCGGGTGATGCTTTGAAGAAATGTAGGGCAAAACTCTGGACACGGGCCTAGCCAACACCCATTCCAGAAGAATCAAAGGACTCCAAGTGTGTCCACCCTATGGACATGTTCCGCCCTCTTGTGCTTGGCCTTCGGATCCTGGGATCCTGGGGCCAAAAGCCCACGTGTTTTTGTCGCCGGCCGTGCCCCAGTCAGCCAACCGCAGAACATTGGCCGTTCCAACAACCGCAGATCACTCACAGCCAATGATTTGCTCGCAACAGGAACAACATCTCCACTAGAAGCACAGAATCTCACATGCGATTTCATGCCCCATGCTGAGCGGCGAGCGGTTGCTCAAAGCACAGCTTGAATTTAGCTTCCCGCCTTGCGTATAAAGAACAGTTCCGGGCACGAAGAGGTGTAAAGTGGCGACAGCCGGACAATCGGCAGTCAAATTGTGTAAATATGCCTGGACCGTTTTTAAAAGGGGGTGGGAACCCCTCCAAGAGTGGTCTGCTTCCCCACTAAGCCCTCCGTGTGTGAATCAACTGGGGTTGATCAATATGGGGTCAACATTAGTGAGGGAATGATCAATTCTAGGAGTGCCTTTCCTTTATTCGGGGACCAACACCTGCGTTCCTTCAACCACATTCCCTACCCATCGCACCAGCAAGATAAGCCGTTCCCCTTAATTGGTGGTTTGGCCCCTGACTGGGAATGACACCCACGCACACAGACACACACACACACACACACACACACAGAGAGAGACGCACAGGCACACAAACACACAGACACACAAACACACGGACACACAGACACACGGACACACAGAGATGCATGCAGCTTCCGTGCGTTGCCAAGGCTTTGTTGCCAAGGCTTTGTTGCCAAGGCTTTGTTGCGTGCGGACGAGGCGCCTGCTCCGCGGCGCTCTTGCGATTCATAACGCCTAGGCGAAAGAACTCGTACGTGCTCCAAACTGCACAGGGACCAGCCGACGCCCGAAGAACTCATTTTGGGCTAAAAGCCACCATGTAGCTGTCCTCCAATCCCCTGCGAAAAAATTCACATGTTTGGGGAAACCATCCCGAGAAGAACAAAAAAAAAAGATCCGGAAGGAGCGCGAGGAATCGGATGCCTGGGAATGGGCGAGTCTCTTCCTTGAAACCCCCGGAAGCCCAAGATCGCCTTCCGATCCGAAGGGGTGTCCGTTGAAAGCATCGCCACTGGAGACACGGACATCCATTTGCTGCCCCGTCGTTGAACAAACATCCGGTGATGGGGGTCGCCTTTAAAACCAGGAAAAATCCATAAAACGCCTTGAGCAAAGTAATGTACAATGGCTAAGTATGCCATTTCTCCCCTTCAACATCTGCCACCCCCGACCCTCTTGAGGTAGGGACCTTGCACCAACCTCAAACCAGGCCCTACACCTAGAACCAACCCACCGACCGCTTGCACCCGACGTAAACAAACCTTGACACCCTTCAACCAACCATTTTCGAAAAGCAAAAAGAGAGAAACATAAACCCTGGGGTTCCAAAGGCGGTTTATTTTGCATGCTTTCTGTGAAAGGCGGTTTTTTGCCAGGAGTAGTTTTGTCAAGTTCAGCTAATATCATTGAACAATTCGGGCGCCGCACGTGCTCAGGACCAAAGTGTGCAAAGACTTGACCTCTGTTCCCACAAAACAAGCGGAGGGATTATCAAAGGACAGGCTGAAACACATAGATTCACCGGTGTCAAAATTCACGGCAGAAAACGTGCTTTCACGCTGGAAAACAGGCTTTCACGCCAATTTCACGGTATTTTCACGGTGATTTCACGCCACTTTTGCGTACATGACGGACCGCTATGTTCACACCAAAGCTGTTGTGTCAAGACATGTTGGGGTGGAACTGGCTTTGTACAATCTAAACGTGGCAACAGCATGAATAATCCATCAAATACCACGCCATGGCTCACTGCAGGCGCAAAAAACAGGCGTTAGCTGCAAAAAACAGGCGAGGTGCAAAGGACGTTTAAAAAACAGTCGTGGATTTCCAGGGTAAACAAACAAAGAACAATCTGGCACGCCCCAGCGGTGATGCCCTTCAACCAACCATTTCCGGGGAAAACAAAGTGGAGAAAACAGAAGAAGAAGAAGAAAAAAGCTGGCACGCCCCCACCCCACCCCCATGAAGCCGCAATTGTTCCCGGCCGCGGCGCTGCGCACGGAGCCCAGCTGCAGCGCCTTGCAGGTGAGGAGCTTGGTCTCCAAGAACTCGATCTCCGTGCTATACCTTACAAACGAACCGGGGATACGGGAGCGGGGAGATGGGGGGATGGGGGGATTGCTTAGAATCCATTTCCCATAAACTTAGTCAAGGTGCATTTAGGGGGGATTCCCATAAACCGCCATTTGCCATGAACTTAAGGTGTATCAAACGGGGAATCTTGCCGTATCCCTGGTTCCCCCTGTATCCCTGCTAGTTGGTTTCCCTGAATACCTAGCCCAGAAGCGGAGCGCTTTTGAACTCCGGGGGTATGTTTGGTCGGACTCCCCGTGAATGAGCCCATGGCGAAGCTGGTTTTCGGGAGAAATGTCAAAAACCATCAAAGAGGAAAACACGCACACACACACACACAGACACACACAAACACAGACATACAGACAGACACACACACACACACACACACAGAGAGACACACCAGTAGTCCAAAACGTGATGTTTTTTTTGTTTTTTCCCCCCCCCGGCTTTCATTGGAGACTAGGAACCCCAGCTGGTGCCTTCGCAGATTTGCGGTGGATTTCTATGGGGGAAAATACGACTCTGTCCAAAGAACAGGACCTGGGCACTGCAGGTCTGGACTTTGAGGTCCAATTCCCAGTTTGAGACGCACCACACGAAGCTATGGCTCGCCAAAATGGGGATGGCTCCAACTATGGGGCAACCGGTGGGGGGGGGGGTTCGCTAGTCAACCTGAAAAAGGTACCCTCAAAAAACACCAATGTAAAGAGAACCCGGAAAGGGTACTCTCAAAGAAAACCAATGTAAAGAGAAGAGGTAGCGCCCACAGCAGGAGAATGGGGCTGCCGGGTGCTCGGAATCAAGAACTCTAATGGTTATAGGACTCAGATGCCCAGTTCCCATGACGAAAAGGGCATGTTTTTGATTGGTTGACTTTAAAGGGGAACCCTTCGCAAAAAAGAGGAAAAAGGGTACCACTGGGCAATTGGGGAGAAACCGATTTGTATGTGTGTAGCCGTGGGGATTGACGAGCTGCAGTAGACGATCCGCAGGACTTAAATTGTCATTTCTAGAAAATGTCTAAGGAGTTCTGCAGGTCTGGGGTGCTTGTTTGGTTGCTTGAAAGGGAAGCCAAAGGACACCCTTTAGCCTTTCATGGTACGAAGTGATCCAGGTCCAGCTTTTGCTGGTAAGGAGTTGGCAGACATAGTACTTTAGATAGCTGAAGGTGGTAAACACCGAAAAAACTACAGATCGTTGTTTCCAATGATTGCCACCAAACTAAGCAGAAAATCCGGAGGCTCGTGGGGCAGGGCTTCTGGAAGCAGGCCCCTTCTAGCGGCCTCTGTGGTGTCAGCATCTCTTCCTCAAATCCAGGGCTGAAAAAGGGTGCCTAAAGTCTCCATGACCCTTAAAACATGGCAAAATAAAGGGGTCATGTACCTATGTTTAAAGGGCGATGGAGACTCCAGGTGGCCTTTTGGTGACCAAGAAAAGGAGAACCCCCTTTTTGGGGTTGGCTAAGAGGCAATAGGTTGGCAAGGCCCGAAAGCAAGTTCAGGTCTGGCAGTCAATCTCGAAGATCAGATCCCATCTGCCAAAAGCTGAATTGCGGGATCTTGAGCTCATTATACCGCTGATTTGCTCGCTATACCCCCGAATCGGTGAGCTCGCTATTTAAAAAAGGGAGAACAAAAAAAACACGGGGAAAAAACAAAACATCAGATCCCATCTGTTTCGCCCAGCCCATCTGGCCCGCGCAACGCCCAAGCTGGACAGCTCGAAATTCCCGAACCCGGAGGAGCACCGAGGCGCTTCTGGTTCAGGCGCTGCTCGGTCTTACCCTTGAGGTGTGAAGACCTCGGATCTTTGGTCATGGCCCCCGTGTGACGTTTCGATCAGGGGAGGGGCTGGAGAGGTGCACCAGATGGTCTGAAACCATGGTAAAACAACACCACTAAGAACTGTAAATGGACAAGCACCCACAACAATAATGATTCCCTGCAAAATGTCCTGCTGCCTCTAAGTTTCTTAGATGTTCGCAGTTGGTTGGCACCACTGGACGCCACTAGAGGTCTGTGTTGCCTGAAGTGGTTGGCCACGGTGCGTTTTTCAATCCGCTTACCAAGTACCCTGCTCCTTAGAGTGCAGCCCCCCCACACACACACACACACACACACACACACACACACACACACACACACACACACACACACACACACACACACACACACACACACACACACACACACACACACACACATCCAGCTCTTTTCGATTCTGGTTTTTCCTCCGGCATGTTTGGGGGTGTTTGGGCAGAGTCCTTCTGAGGCGTGTGGGAACGCCCAGCCTTAACACGCGGTCAAGATCTATGGGAATGTGGCAGAACGTGCCTTTCAAAAACAAAAATCATGAGAGCAGGGCACGCCTTCCCTGGGAATTCCCTGTGATTTAGAACGCCCAGGGCGCCTCAAAGCGGGACTGGGACTCCCAGCCTCGCAGCTGGCTCAAGGGGAAGCAAACCCTCGAGGCTTGCAGGAAAGCGTGTACCCTCAGCGACACACCCATCTCCCCCTTTTGGCTGGCAAAGGGGGGACAAAAAAAGGAACACCATGCGCCAACCATAGGGGGACCACTCCCCTAGAATTTGTAGGAGAGAGTTGCTTGGTTGACGTTGGAAGGGGAGCAAACATTTAAAATTTAGCAGTTAAGTGGGGATTTCCCACTAAACCACAATAAGCAAACCTCCATGAATCAATAAGAAACACCCACGTGGAGCCAACGTTTCCAAGGAACTGCCACGCGAAGAACATGGAGCTCTGCAGGGCGCGCTTCTCGTTGTCCGCCATGGTGGTTAGGACCTGCGTGGCTTTCACCCACCTGGAAATGGGTGGGGCCCCAGATATTCCCAAAGTTACCTGAAGCTGAAGAGAGGCTTGTTCAAACCACTTCCCCCCAGTGACTTTGAACATGGGTCCCTCAACATCTCACTTTCCGTCCCAAAACCATTGGACCGTGCTCCTGTTTCGTTGGCTCTTATATCCCATGCAACTGTTGGGGCTGGTTTTTTCGGCATGGAAGAACCCCCAGGCAAGTTTCTACAAACCGGCACTCGGGATCCCCGAAGACTTCATGGGCTGATTTGCGCGCGGAGACCCGCCCCCCTTCAATTCCATGTTTAAGGGCGCGGCCAGCACCGACAAGTCATTCCCTTGTAGCTCACTTCCTGAGTTCGGCCAAAAAAGGTCCAAACCTTTTACTTGCCACTAAAACGGTCTTACCAAAAAGTTTTAAAGTCTAGGAACTGAGGAAACGAGTTGGTGAACATCCTGTGTTGGTTGGATATCACACCTCTCGTTTCAGCACGCTGCAGGAATGCAGCCATGCCCTCCGAACTCATGGCCGCTGAATCAGGAAGTTTGTCCTTTGACCATGGACCCGTTCGGGTCAAGGCCATAACCCAGGCCTAAGGGAACCAAGATGGAATGCAAGACAGTAAGCGAGTAAGCGACTGGCATTGCAAAATCCAGTGGCCTGACGAGATCCGTCAACAAAAACACTACCTGAGTCCTGAGTGAATTCAGCGAGAAAAAGCCAACCACCTCGGAACGTCCCTGAATCTCCTCAAAAAATTGACCTGGGCCATTTCGTGCGCTGTCACGATGTCTGGTTACAGCCAGAAAAGGCCTGCTCGAATACAAATGAAAAAGAGACCAAATCCAGACCAAATCCACCAGATCTACTCTAACCCCCAGAAACGGGTGGGAGCCCAGCCTTCTGAGACTTGGCGTTCTGCAGGCCCTTAAAGCTCTCGATGGACTTCCGCACTTGCTCCAGCTCCTGCAGTTGGGAACGAGAAGCGCTCAGGCTTTGGCAGCCACGCTTGGGCAGGGAACGCGAACTGGTCAGCAAAAAAGCAAATCACCAAAGGCACCTTGCAGGGCAACGAGTTGGTGGGCTTTGCATGGGGATATGCTTGCAGGAGATGTGATTTAAACGGGATTTCGCAGATGACCCGTGCCGTGCACACACACATATATATATATATAATATCTGCGTGCGTGTGTGACACAAGTGCTATTTCGCAGGCTCAAGCTCGCTCAAGCTGGTGAACATACTATTGGGGTACGCAAGGCCTGGGTGAATTTTCAGGGCTTCCAGTTTCGTTTCCCCTGTTCGGAACCTCAAGTGGGCAATGGCAGAACCTGCAAAAGCGGCAATCGTTTCGATCGGTTCAGTGGACACCAGCAAATTGATCAAGACATCCTACAAGTCTCGGAAGGCCTTGGGGCCTGGGGGGGGGGGGGCACCGGTACTCAGCCCCCTTTCGGGGTCAGTTGAATGAATCTAGGACGGCATTCTTGCAGGCATTCGTCCAGGCCCATACTAAGTACGAGAAATCCCGCAATGAGGAAAAGCGTAGCCCTCCGGATCAATCCGACGTTGACATGATGGACTCGCAAGGAAGCTTCCAAACAGGGGAAAAAAGGAAACGCACGACCTGAATCAAACTACAGGAAATCCTCAAAAAAACACGCAGGCTTCACCCAGGCCTTGTTTCCCCCCAACCCCCCAAAAAATAACTGAATAAACAGAGTTCATTCCATGTCTTTCCTTATAAACAGAATTCGTTCCATTTCCTTCCTTCCAAGCAGACCGCGGGGTGCTCCGCCCGTTTCCGACGGAACTGCGCGCCCCGCGCCAGGGCGGCGTTGTCCGCATCTTCGGAGCAGCGGATGAGGCGGGCGATGCGACCGGCCATCGAGGTGTCCCAGCTGTGATGGACGCCCTGCACCTCGCCCACCTGGCTGTGGGTCAAAATCCAAATCGGTTAGCCCCCAGTGAACATGGACCACCACGGCAAAACTATCCGCATCTGTTTCCTCTGGGTTTTTCTGATGGTTTCCTGCAACAATCAAAACCTGGTACAAAAATGGTGAACCCAGATGCTTCAAGAATTAAGAAGGCGGATTTCCGCAGCTATTTATGGCAAGGGGATTGTCCCTTACTAACCTTCATCTACCCAGGTTTCTAGCTGCTGTGGGCCATTAACCAATCCAACCACTAAAATAGGTCTTAAAATGGGTGGTAAATTCACCTACCAACCAAAATGGGATCCCATTAGTTTTGACCCATACCCACCTGAAGTTAAAGCAACAATCAGCCAGCCCTCGAAAAGTGAGTGGTGGGGGACCCATTGTACACACAATCCTGTTCACTTTTGGTTGGGTGTCCCACCTGAAGTTGAAGCAACAAGCAGCCTCCCTCTGATTGCCTCGCAAGAACTAATTCAGGCCCCCAGATATTTGTGCCAATCAGAAATGTCGCCCCCCAAAATGTCTTCATTGCGTTCGAAGTTTCAGGTGGGTACGTCCCATACACCTGTCCTATGTGCTCGCGTTTTGGATCTAATGAAGGTCGAACCCCTCTAGTGAGAGAACGATCAGGATGCCCCAAATACTGCAAGCAAACCTGCCATATTCAACCAAAACCTTGGCAAACATTCGGTTTCCCTTTTCCCCTGCCAAAGCAATAAGAGAAGCGGCATCCAACATTTCTGTTTTTTTTGGGGGGGGGGCTCGGGGCTGCTGCCGAGCTTTCCTCTAATTGATGGTTTGGAGATTGGTTGTTTGGTGGTTAAGCAGGTTGAAGCCCTTCAGTTTACCGTCTACGAGAACCAGGGGCTCAAATCCCAAACCAATGCGACGGGTGGCTGGCCCAACGGCCCAACCTTGTTCAGCATGGTTCGAGAACTAGGAAAAACAGATGCCCCTCACGACGCGGTTCGTTTGGTTGCATCCACAAGGAGAAACATTTAAAGAAAAGGGCCCTTTCTTGGCGGTCCGCACCTTCTCCACAAAGCCCCGCAAATACCACAAAAACGCAATAGGAACCAGGTTCTTAGAAGGGTCCGGAGACCCTTTTTGGGGGCTCTAAGATGAATCACTCACCGGAATTTCCCCGAAAGTTTTGCCGGCCAAAATTTTTGCGGAAAAAAAGGGAGGAAGAGCCAAAAAACTTTGGGTCCCTCACGGCCCCCTTTCGGCGGAAGAGAAGGGCCAAGGCGTTCATTTCGCCTCGCGGCCGGCTTCGGCCACAATCTCCTTGAGGACCTGCTGGGTGATGCCCGTGTCCCCGTCCTCGCAAAGGAACTCGCGCGGGAATGGTGCTCGAGGCTTGGAAAAGGGGGGTCGAAAATACCTTTGAATCTGAAAGGTACTTGGATCCTGAGAAAACACCGGGGATGCAAGTGTCTCCATTTATGACCAACTAGGTCCTCCAGTAGAGAGCTTAGAATACGGGTACCCACTTTTGCTTTTCTGTACTCGATTTTAGTAGGGGAACCTTCCCCAAAAAATAGATAAAAGAGCACTACTGGGGGACCTAGCCAAGTCTTTCGGCGCTTCCCGATTCATAGCTCCGGATCAGCCGGTCCTCCATGATCTTCGCGACTTCATCTGGGGAGCCCTCCTGGCAAAGCTGCTTGAAGAAAAAGAGCTTCCTAGGGTTCATCTCCAGGCTTGTGCTTGTTTTGTTCCAGGGAACCGCTTGAAGTGAACAGAAGTGGGGGATAGTCACGCATAATCTTCATGCGTTTTTCGGGTTTGCTTTTTGTTCCAGAGAGTCACTTGAAGTGGAAACGCAAACAGGAGATGGTCACACATGTCCGTAAGTCTGGGTCAGTGAGAAATGTGACTTCATGTGTTTCAAGTCCCCCCACAACCCCATTCTAATCATCTGGGTCTGTCTAGTGAATCACCAACTCAGAAATCCAAGAACCTGATCAACCCTCAGCGCGCGTCCTCGTTTGGGGATCACCTTTTGGAACCTTTGCGTGGGCTTCACAAAAGTCCGAAGCGAGAGGGTCAGGGAACCACCCACTTGCGGGTTCTCTCTTCTACGTGGGTGGTACGAAGGTTGTGGGGCCAAAGAGGCCCGAAAAGCCATCCTTACGTATGTGGCTTGGTGGGGTGTGTGGGTGTGTGTGTGTGTTTGGGTAAGCAGGGCCCCGAAAGAGTATGAAGTGCGCACGCACGCACGGGTCCCCTAATTGAAGCCTTCAAGGGTGAGACAAGACCTGGCCCGAGGTGCTCAAGTCTAAATGGAGTGGCAACTAATGAAATGCACAAAGGGATCTCGGTTGCGAAATCTGCTCCCCTGCTAAAAGTGAATAAACTTTAGCGGTTTAATACGGAAAACCCATGAGTTGGTAAACAGTTAGAGTCCTAACATCCAAGCAACATGCAGCAAAGGTTGAACATGGTTTCCCTGAGCTTGTTCCAAAAAGGCCCACGCACCTCTCAAAGTCTTCTCTCCTCAAGTGCGTTCCGCACGCGGGTCGCAGTGGAAAGGACCAGCTGCAGCTGAAGAAGAAAGTGCTCGATGGTCTTCTTCCTCAGGGCAGAACCACTACACAGGCCTCAAAGAAGTCACCAAACCAACAAGCCAGCTTCAATCGCCAATCACCAGCGGCCTACCGCAGTTCACCTTGATATAATGTTGACCCAGGATTAATAAACCCGTCCCAGTATTAGGGGGGTGGAGACCCCTCCAAAAGTGGTCTGAATCCAACCACTAAAAGGAATTGGACACCCCCCAATCAAAATCAACCAAGGGTTCTGCTTAATCCGGGAATAACATTAATCCTTTGCATATTTGACTGGAACCCTGGCATATTGGTTCAGAGCCGCAAGCCTCGAGGTTTTTTGCCCGCGCTTTGCTCCCAATCCGTTGAGCCCGATATAGCCCGACACGCAGCTGGGCGTTGTGAAACCCACCTTGCAATTCCAAGTTTTTTACGGGTCCCTGGCATGGATCCTTCAAACATCATCCCGCCGAAAGGAATCTAGGCTTCAAAATAAAGTAAACGGCAAAGGTTTACTTCACCCAAGATCCAGGTAGTCGAAACTCAATCGGGGGTCTCGGGCGCTGCGGACAGTTCCATGCTGAGACGATGGGCTGAAGCCAAAAACGGACCTGCCAAAACCAACAAACCTTGTTAAGTTGATGGTACCCTGTTTGGATGGCTTTAAATGTTGGTGATTCCCCCTACTTTGCCAGGCACGCCTATAAGAACAACCCTCTTTTGTAGGAGACGTGCTTCTATTTGCTTAAGCCAATTGGGAAAAAACACCAGTAGTGATGGATTGCCTTTACAACTACAGGCAAAATGAAACAAATACCCTCCAATTGCTTAAGCCCCCTGGGAACAATAACATAATTCCAGTAGTGATAGATTCCCTTTAAAACCAACAAGGCAATTTTGTTTTATAACTATTAAAAACAAATCAAAAAACATATCTTAAGCAAATATAATATATTCTTCATGATTAGAGTTCGGCCCAGCTATAGAATGTATATGTTCTTGTTTGCTTCACTTTGAGTCGCTGGTAAAATGTAAAATGTATCCTAAGTCTAGACAGATCTTCAGCAAATGGAAGTAGTTGGATCCGAATGGAACCTGGGCCCCGGGCATGGCGCCCGGCATTCGCTCCACGAGGCCCTCGATCATCCAATCTTCGTTCAGCTGGGCCAACTGCTCCTCACGCACGCTGGTTGCGTGTGGGGGGGGGTTTGGCGGGGAGGGGGGGGGGAAGGGGGAATTCAGGGGGGGGACGGGCGGGGAGTGGGTCCTTCGATTATTTTTTTCGGACCTGCAGTATTGCCATTGTTCCTTTCTTTGGAGGAGGTTCCCTTTAGAATCGACTCTCCCTATTTCGACTGGGGGTCTGGGTAAGGGTTCCCATTCTCGTCACCCCTTGTTCGCTACAGAAACCACCCGGAGGTCAGGTCTTGCTAATGGGAACCACGGATTGATAACCCTGTTCTACCAAAAAAAATGTTCCCCTCCAAAGTCATCCAGATTCCGCTAGGGGAGACCTATGAACATCAACCAGGGTTATTCATCCCAGACTTGCCCGCCAGCTCCTTGAATTGGGAGAGTAGGGGAAACACTATGTTCAAATGTTCCGAAAGGTCAAACCTCAAATCACTCGCTTCCGAACCAGTGTATTGGCCGCAACGCTCAGTCTAAACTGTTCGTTTACCACCGAAATGGTCTTCCCCAAAAGGTCAGTAAAAAATGTGTGTATAACATATATATATATATAAGTCCGGCACCTCTTGTGTGTGCGTCGGATTACTCCGGCCCTGCCTAGGCGTGAACACGTGGGGCTCGCCTTTTTAAGCCCCAACATGTTTTTGTTTGTCCTTTTGGCTTCCCTTCAAAACCCCAAAGCAAAGGCACCCTCCAAAAAAGAGGAGCCACCCACATGAACCAGCAGGTTGCGCCTTCTCTTCCGCGGTGATGCGCATGCCAGCAGCCTCACGAAGCTGATTCCGACTGGATGCAGAATCCCTTGACACAACTTCCGACCATGGAAGTGGACAAAGACGCAATCTTGGACATCCTGAAAGCGTGGAACTTTTTAAGGCTCCAAGGCATTAGGGGCAAACGCCACGCCCTTTTTTTGGATCCTTTGCAGGGGAGTAACCAACCTCTGCGGTTGACCCTCTGCAAGAAGTAAATCACTTGTTGTAGGTCCAACTCGGAAAATCCCACCTGATTCATTCCCAAAAAGCGGTTCAGTCCAAAGTTCCAGTGCCAAATCGCGACAAAGCCCAGAACCCCAAAGCATCTTTTTGGCAAACGCCACGCTTTCTTTTCGGATTCCTTGGCAGGGGAGTAGCCCACATCTGCACATTTTACTGTAATTCCAAACTAAGAATTGGATCTGCAAGCAAGGCTTTCCCTCGTTCCCCCGAATCGGTGGAACCGACCCCCCCTTCCCCCCCGGCGACGCCTCGAAGATGTCCATGGCTTTGACCAGCGCCTCAGGTCGGTCCCAGGCATACGCCAGGCCACTGTGCAGCACCCGGAAGTGCCATTCGTCCAGGAACCTCAGACTTGCGATCGCCGCGCGAGAGGCGGGGAATGGGATATGGAACGAGACATCCCAGGCTTTGGTCTTCTTAAAGGAAACCAGTTACCAGTGACCGATGCTTGAAGAGGCAGGGAATGTGTCTGGAAATAGTCAGAAATCACCATCCTTGTTTATTTGGAACCGGGGGGGGGGGGGTGAAATGAACGGCGTCCTGTATTCCCCTCCCACCCAATTAAAATGGAGCCTGATGTTCTGGACCCGGTCCCTTTAAAAGGAAGATGGTCCAAACCACCTCCCGAACGTCAGGATCCACGTTCATTGGTGGGAGGGTACTTGTTCTTTCTTTTTTTGTTGGGTGAGGGGGCCGGGGCACCTGGGAAACAACCAGCAGGCAAAACCTGGCAACTCTGTTTAGTTTGGTGGTTTGGACCGGTATCGGGTGGAATTGCCTTCCGCATTTGGCTTCAAAAGAAACTTGGGTTGCCTTCAAAACCACACATCCACACCACCAATTACGCATTTAAGGGGTACCCAAGGAACCGTTCCCACCTCTGAGAAAAAAATAAAGTGAAGGCCGAGCCTACACTCAAGCAACACTTAAAAATGAATGTGAGGGCCGATTTCGAACTGTCATGTTCTCCGCTTCCAAATCCTCGGTTCAAGCTTCCACTCAGAACCCTCGCCTGTGAAAGGTCGAGCCAAGCCGGGTGTCAAGAAGAGTCATGCTGAGTGGATGGGTCAAACAATGTCAAACAAACTCCAAACTTGTTGTTTACCACTACAATGATCTTTCACAAAAGTGTCAAGTTCAGCAACTCAATGAGTGAGGAAGGAAAAATGGGGGGGGGCTCTTCAAACAAATGGGGCTACTTAGCACCCAAGGACATCCATGGAAACTAGCATTTGTCACGAATTCGGGGAATGCGGGATGCCCCAAATGGGTAGTTTCCTGGTGACTTCCCTTGAAAACAGCCCTCCAACCAAACATGGGCTCAGTGAACAGCACCCTTTTGGGAAGACAACCAATTATCCTCTTGTAAAGGGTAGTGCCTGTGCAAAACCGCGCTTGTTGCTGGAAGGGTAGTTATTACTTCTTATGTAAACTGCGAACTCCAAGGCCTCTTGCCATTGGCATATCCCATCTACCAGGTCCATTGAAGTAACATCCAAATGACCCGCTGACTGGCTTTTTGTGAGTCCCCGCCCCCCAAATGTCCTTTGGAGAGGCCTAGATACCACTTTAATGCGTCCAAACCCGTTCCCTGCCAAGCCACTGCTGCACCATAAGGCCCACCGTCACATCATCCACCTCTCGAGTCATGCAAACACCCGGCCGTGTGGCCCCCGCATGCCGCGCCCATACGGTTGGCCCCATTTCGGTGGCCCCTTTGTCTTGAGCCCCAGGCGAAACACAACTCCCGTCATTCCCAACCAGCATCCCTTTAGGTTGGAACAAAAACCCAAGCCCCTATTCGTCTCCCACCATCCCGGCATCTCCAGCTGGAAATCAACGTTCAACCGACATCCCTACATGAACCCACGGGTCGGCTCGCGATTGGGATCTCTCACCCGTAGGCCGTAGGTTGTCTCCAAAAAGGTCCTTGGAGGGCCCTTGGAGTCTCACCAAAAGCCCGCACGATTTCAATCATAGGCGTGCTTTTTGGAAAAATAGATGGGGTTCCCTGGTAAATGGGGCAAAAAACCTATCAACACCAGTGGAGCCCTTCTATGTTCAACCAAAGTAACCAAAAAAGGACACCTATGATGCCAATGGTTTCGATTTTTTGCGGCCTCATCATCGAAATCCCTGCGCGGCGAGAGCGTGGACATGGCTCGCTCTGCGCGGGCCGGCGATCGAACGTCGGCGAGCGCGATGACTGGAGCAGAATGAGCTGCGGAGGTTCTTTTGCGACCCCAGCTGCAGGCTAGGTACAAATAGATGGGGTTCCCTGCTAAATGGGGCTTGAAATCAATCTACACCAGTGGAAGCCATCTATCCGAGCCAAACTAAGCTAAAAGGGACACCTATGGTACCCGACCGTGGTTCTTGTAGTGGTTCCATGGTTGCCTACCGTAGACAAATGGCCGAAAAGTAACACCAAACAGGATCCAAATGCCCGGACCCCAAAGACCAAAATTCGACTCTTGCGGTCCTATGGAAAGGACAACCAAAGTTCTCTTGGGTGGTATGTCAAAAGCTTGGAGCAAACCGAGGTGCTTCTTTTGCGTTCCATGCCTGAATGTAAGCTGCATAGAACAGAAGACCGAGCAAAGCTTGGTTGCTGTTGACCCCTCTGCCAATGGAAAGCCTTTCTCAAAAAAAAACAAAAAACCAACAAATCGACCCAATAGCAATCCAGAAAAAGGAGTTTAGACGATGAAATCCACCGATTCAAGTTGCCAAGGGTTTGCTCGCCGAAATCCCAATGATCGCGGCTGTTGTCTGACACACACACACATAGCATCAGGGTAGCTATATAAGTTGGGATGAACCAACATTGTCAGTTGAAATTGAGAAACATGGTTGGAAATCAGATCCCCCCAAATAAGCTCATCGGTTTCATGCAGAAACTGCAAAAGGAAGCAAGCACCACTCAGCGCCAAAACCGCTGAGCCCTTGGTCAACATGTTCAACATGGAAGCTGGGATTAATCGGCATTGCTGCCCTGTCTGACGCATCGCGTGAGGGTGTGCCTCTGTTCACCTTCAGCCTGTGCAAGTTGGATCTGCAGAGCAGTAAACTCCTGGCGGATCAGGGAAACTGCGGGATTTGTCAGGCAGTTTAGGGAGGTATGGAGGTTACAAACGACTTATATATATATATATGTATATATATATGGGACATAATACTGCCTCACCTTATGTTGGTGGAACATAAGCCTTCAAATAACTTCCATACACATATCTGAAAACTGTGCTGATGATACGAAGTCAGCCCCTGCACTTGCTCCCAGCGGAATTGTGCCATCTTTTTTTGGTGCAATCCCATTCCAATAATTTACGCCCATATCGAAACCTTCTGCCATTTGAACAAAACTTGGCTGTCGCTTTTACCTGCAAAGCCTCTCGGTCCGAACAACGCAAACGGTGAGGGCACATGGAAGCCCAAAAGTGGTCTGCGATTGCTATGCAAATGCAACAAATTGTCACACTGCAGTTTTTAGGAGGGTAAGCAGCATTCCTTTTTGAGCATCTACGCAACGACTTGGTTTGTGAGGCTTGTAGGCATGTCATGTTGTTGGCGGGCGTGTCAACTCCTGAAAATACTAGTCGCCGCTAGTCGCAACATCATTGCCGGGATACATTCTACCGCAGCGTTTGGTTTTCTTGTTGCCCAAGTAGAGACATGGAATGGTTTCCCGCGGCTCGTGCCACCGCAAACCTCGACGCGAGATGAGGTCCATGGGTATGTGAAACTTGATCTTGGCCTGGGAGGTCTCAAGCTGATCAACTTGCTGGTGCTCAGGGGATTTGGGAGCCCCTAGGGTTGGAAGGACTTTCACTGCCCTGAGAACTGGCGAGTAAAAGAAATCCCCAAGCCTTCATGGGTGACTTGGCGCCTGGTTGGAAATCATATGGTTGCCACATGCATCATCCCAGAAATGTAATATACTAATGTTGACCCAGGATGAATGCTCCCCTTGTTGATTAGGGTGGATGTTCTATTGTTGATAGTAAGGATCCTCCGCTATTTAAAAAAAAACTCCCGAATTCATCGGACAGGTTTGTTCCGGGGTCAGCATTATCGAAAGGCAACAGCTGTACAGCCGGAAAGTTGATAACTATTATACCAACCGCAAAAGATCATACCCAATGGATCTCCCCCCTGCTTGGTTTGTTCAGGTTTCAAGCTTCCGGAGTGGCGAAGAGAGCTTGTGTGACTATGACAATGCCTATAGCATACCGCCCATGTTAGAGACACCTCCCCCCGCCCCTTTTTGCGGCGCGTCTTGGCGCCTTTTTCGGGCTATGCCCCCTGGCCCTCGGGCCAGGCCCCTCGCGCCTGCGGCGAGAGATCCGCAAAGCCAGAGTCGACCTGCGAAGATCACAGCCCGACCCTCGGAAGGGCGTGGGGGCTCCTCGGGTTCCATGTAACCCCGGATTAATAAACCCCTGTGTATTCATGAGGGTGTCCCCGGTTTTAGTGAGGACTTATCACTTTTGCAGGGGAACACACCCCTATTTAAAGAACCGGGGTGGATTTATATAGGGTCAAGGTCATCTAGCCCCCCACGAAATGCCCCGAGGAACCTTTTTCCTGGCCTTGTGTGGCTGTTCAAAATGGAGGCTTCGCCCATCCTAATCCATAATCCCTATACAAAAAAGCCACTACAAAAGGGACCAAATCCTTGCGTAACCGAGGTAACAATTGAGGATTCGCTTTGAACCGCCCAGCCTTGGCTCGCACCCGAGCCATTTTTCCACCCTCAAGTTGCCTGGTGCCCGATCCGCATGGCCCAACAGGTCAGCTCAGCGAAGGGGTGACCTCCGAAACCAGTGTGGCCACTCCTCCACATCCGTTTAGTTCCCCTGGGAAAAAAAGAAGAAGATCGATTCCCTTCAAAACCAACAGAGAACATTCTAGAGATTGTTTCCAGCAAATGGGTCTGGCCCCGATTTTCTGGGAACCCCCTTCAGTTGGACCAAATGAGTCAGGGTCGAATGAAAATGGAAGCCATATTTTCGTCTGGAAAGAACATGAAAGGAAGCCGATCGCGGGTCTGGAACCTGATCGCGCTGATTTCTCCGCTCCGCTCCCAGGTTGGCTCTTGCCGCGTCAACTCCCGGAAGGCCATGGTGAAGTAAGCCGAGGGCGGCAGCACACAAGACCTGGCGGCTGAAATCGCGGGTGCTGAGTCGAGTCACCTTGACCCTCAAACTGTCCAACAAAAATGCGGTTGCCCAAACCATGTGGTGATCTCCCCTCTTGAAAGGGTAGTTTGATTGCCAAGAACATAAACAACTCCCCATTCCGCATTGTTCGGACATGATAGGAAGTGAGAGGCATTAGATAACCCCTTCTTGGGTTGAAAAAGCAAAAGAAGCATCGGCTTGGCCCTGTGTGCATTGCTCACCAGGGGTCACTGGACTGCTGAGTTCCGATGAAACTCCCTCTTCTTCCAATTGGTTAGGATTTTAATAAGCATATGTCCAGTAGTGATAGGTTCCCTTTACAACCAACAGGGGAAAATAAATCATATTCTTAAGCAAATGCAAGTCTTTTGGAGGTCCGAGGACCCATGGAAAAGCCCCCACTGGCCGAAATTCGCCATCCGAGGCGCATGATGAGCGAGCCCCCAGCCGATCCGTCCTCGCGCCTGACCGAGGAATCCCGGGCGGGGCGTTTTTGGGTTGGAAATGCGCAACCCAGAGGGTCCAAGTACCTCCTAAACATGGCTTTGGGGAGTAAAAAGGGGTCTTAAGTACCTCCTTGAAAGGTACTTGGACACCCTGTGCAAACTAGCCCTCAAATTGGCTTTTCTTTGGGTGTCCATGAAAAGACCAGCCCTTCCATCACCTGTCAGGTGTCAGGCAACGTCGAATTGCGAGTTGAATGGGCCTATAATTACTCAGCTTCCCTCGAAAAGGGTGGTTTGGAGCCCGGCGGTTCGGTAGTGTTCCGGTGTTCTACTTAGCATCTAAAACACCAGGGCTCAAATCCCCAAACCACCAATCCAAACCACCACACAAGGACCTTCTCTTTTTCAAGGTTGAATAATAAAGCAAACATGGTTCCAAGGTGAAAAAAAACAATTAACCACTTTTTTCCACCTTGGAACCTTTTTATGTCCAATTGTTGGAGAAAAAAATAAGAGGTTCTTAAGGTGAACACAAAAAACGCTGTGGGTCAAAAATGGGTAGCCAAAATGGAACCCTGGCAAATGGAACCAAGGACTAAAACCTGCGGTCCAATTCCTGGTGGATTCATTTTGACCCATACCCATTTCGCCCTATGCCTACGAAGCTACGAAGCCGACGCCTTTGGCCGGCGCGGCCTCAGCCCTAAGACCCCCGGCGCCAAGTCGCCCGGGTCCAACTCCTCCGCGCCTTGAGGGCGCCGAGGGGAAACGCCCAGAGGGCCCCTTGGTACTTTACTTGGTTGCTGGAACCACCCGCCCTGCTTAAAAAGTGTTTTTTTCTCACTTTTTGGGGGTTTAGTGGAAAACCCAACTTGAGTTCAACCAAAAAGTTTTAAAGTCTAAAAATCCAACCAAATAAATAGCAGTCAAGTTCTTTAGGAGGGACTGAACGACCCCATGTTTACCCCCCAAAAGCCATCCTTGGGAGGTACCAAGGGACCCTCTGAGAAGTGGAACTTGTCATTTTGTTGCGTGGTTTGGGCGATACTTTTAGCTATTTTCTTCATGTTTCGCTAGTTTTCGTGATGTGTTCTTTTCTCGTTTTTTTTTTTTGTGGGGAAACTGCAGAACATCTTCTCAAGATCTCACTGAATTTTGTTCGCTGGCTTCTTGTCTCCCAAAAGTTACAACTCCAATCAACAAGCAAACACACCTTCTCCCGAACAGTTAGGAAATTTCACATGCAATCCCCCAAACCGGTTTTGTCAGCTCAAAGTCGCGGCATCTCTACAACTCTTGGCATGGCAGCAAAACAAAACGTTTCTTTTGTGCAGCTCAGCCAAAAAAAAAGCACATAACCAACAAAAAGCAGAAACACATGGCTGTGGGTCAAAACCCTGTACCCCTGGCAAATGGACGTTCATCCACCCCAAAATGGAGCCATAGGTCATGCCCCATGGCCGCAAGTACCTCCTGAGGATGGCTTTTGGGGGTGAAAAGGGGTCGTTCAGTTTCTTAGAAGGTGCCCAAAAAAACCATCTGGAAGTCAAAAAAAGTCGAAGTACCTCCTTGGAAGGTACCCAAAAAACCCTCTGGAAGAGTCAAAATGACCCAACGAGTTGCGCCTTGCCTTCCAGTCGGTCCCGGTCCGTGAGCAGCAGCCGGCCCCGCTGGCGCCGCGCCAAGGATGCCGCGGCCGCACCCGGCAGCTTGCGCCAGGAGACGTCTGTTGGGCGGACCTCGGGCCGGTGGCTTTGCTTCGGGCCGCGGGCTTTTAGTGGTTTAATGGAAAATTCATTAGTTGGCAAAAAGTTAACGTCCCAACATCCAAGCAAAATGCACCAAAGAGAAGTTGCTCAGTCATTTTCCAACGTCCCCCACCCCATTTTTTGGGCCCTAAGGGGGTGGGGATCCGATAGGCAGGGAATGAGTTGGAATGACCCCCTGAAACACATTTTCGGGTGATTGCTTCAGGGGACCCCTTTGGCGAAAAATTCCAGATACCCTAGCTCAGTCCTTGCTGAGAACCAGCCAGCAAAGCTTCTGCGGATGGACAACCTCCAGCTTCGCCAGTCGGCATGTGGTTCATCCCAGTATTCGTTGGGTTGGATTTTGCCCCCATTGATAGCTTTCCTTTTGGGGCATACAATCAGGACTAGAGCAATTGATGCTAACCAGATGCAAAGTGCCCTGCCCCGTCAAGTAGGCTCATGGCTGCATTGGCCCAAAAGGTGAAGGTGAGATATCCAACGAAATGGCCGAGCAGTGTTGTCCTTGTTCCGCAGGCGCGCATGAGATTGCCCTGCTTGCTTGCCCAACAGGACCTTTGATTCTGGAGGGGTATGGATCAAACACGGGAAGGTCACGGAAAGGCGCCAAGTTGGAGAAAGGTGTCCCTTTAAAGATTAAGTTTGCTCTACACCTGCCAGATTTTCCAGCGATCCTTGGGTTGTTTCGGTTGGTCGCAGAGTGACCTTGACCTAAACTGCTCGTTGACCCGATTCCCCCACCCCTTTTAAATGGAAAGGGGGCGGGGAGGTGTTTTTTATTCCGTAGGAAATGCTACAATCGGCACCCCCTCGTCTCCAGGTCTGCGAGAGCAAACAGAAAATGAAGGGGGGTCCCCCCGGACACGAAACGGAGTTCCCCAAAGCGGGATTCCACGCCGGACACCCCAAGCCGGAAAAAAATGGAAGGGACAAAAATCGAAAACCTACCTCACGCCCCCCTCATAGTTCATTTTCGAGGGGGTGGGGAGCTAGCTTCTCAAACATGATGTGGTGCCGGAGCCCGAACAACAAGATGTGGCAAACCTCGGCCCTACATCGGTCGCGAAATCCGGTGGTTCTTGAGCGCTCTGACACCACAACTCACTACCTCAGTGATTGGTCAGAACAAGTCCGGAGCATTTGCTTACCAAAGTGACCTTCAGGTTCAAGTCCACTGAGGAAGTGAGACTTGGCACATTGAAGTTGGACAACCTCATTGGGCTACTGCCACTGTGATCCTGAGAAAGAACACTCCTCGCTTGAGTAGATTGCCCCAAGCAGTTGGATAACTTTCTGCTTCCCACTAAATGGACCTTCCCAAAAGGTACAAAGTCCTGAAACTCAGAGAGACAGGAAATTCCATGAAAGTCTCATGGCCGCGTCTCGCCTTTTTTGTCCGCCGCTCGGGTCTTTGTGGCCGCCCCTGCAACTCTTTTTGGTTTTGCCCATCGCGGCAGCCTCGTCTAGGCCTTAGGACGTGAAATGCATCCGCTGGAAGCGAAGTCGAACGACGATTTACCCTCCCACCAATTGACAGCCAAGCAGGTGAATACAAAGACGAACTTCGGGTGAGTGGCCTTTTCGCTAAGGGTCATGAGTGTGAAACTATGTATGGCAATGCAGCCACGTTCGAGAGAAGTTGCTCATTTGCACAGAAAGTAATCGTCCTTGCGAGCGGGTAAACGTTGTCTGGTGGCTTGCCTAATCATTCTTTGTTGGATTCGGGCCACTGCCTACTTACTTGCATAAACTTCCAGTTGACGGTCGTTTGGCCAGAGGGCTCCCTCGAAGGATCGGTTTGTCAGAAGTCTGAGGTGCCCTAGCGGGCTTCTATGATGCGATCTACGCCTCGCAAGCTGGCCATGACGTTTTTGGGCTCATGTTGTCGATTGGGGCAGGATGGAGGCCATGCAGCAAGCGAGCTGGGAGATCGAAGGCCCAAAGTAGTAGCTCGATGTATCGAGCTTGCCATGCCAAGGATGCCAACGTCACAGGAAGAAAGGTTTGCCAAACAATGATCTTTTCCAAGGTAAACAATCCAAGAACTCAGCGAGTGAGTAACCCAAAAAAACAATCCAAGGAGTACCCATTGCACCCCTTTTGAGGGTACATGTGGAAGAACCTTTTTTCCATGAATATCTCTGGTCCAAAGTGGGTATTGGGCGGGGGTACCTCAGAGTCAAGCGTCCAAGCTCTCGAGCACGTGGAACAAGTGGTAGACGCCCTCCATGTCCAAGAGCCCCACGTCTGCGTTGCAGGTCTCACAGCGGACGGCGTGGTACTTGGCAGGGTCATCCTGCGAAGCGCAAAATTATTATTGTTGACCCCGGATTTGTTGACCCCTGTCTGTCAATACCTAGAGATTCGTTGCGGCAGAAATTTCTGCCGCAATTCAAAAAAGGCGCCTTTTTGGATTTGCGGCATTTCTTTCTGATTTGCGGCGTTTTTTTAGAATTGCGGCACAACTTGTTTTCAGTTTTTTCTACCCCGCGATTTGTGGCGGAAATCGGCGGGAATGCGGCGGAAATCGGCGGGAATGCGGCGGAAATTTCCGGAAAGCAAACAGTGTTGCGGCGTGTTTGTTTTGGTTGCGGCGTTTTTCTTTGTTTGCGGCTAATTTTCTGGAATGTGGCGGGAATTTCCGCCGCAATGCGGTTGCGGCAGAAATTCCCGCCGCAGGAAGTTCTAGGTATGGGGTGGTTTGTTTCCCCCCCCCAAAGTTCGCGGAATCCTCACCAAGCGGTTCATTTAAGCTGGGACAACATTACTCTCCAAGAGGCGGTGGGTGTGGCTGGGGGGCAGGGTTGGGGGGTGGTGGTGGGAGGTACGTCGACCTAGCAGTGCCTGAGATTCACTAGGTTGCGTGCATGAACACATGGCCACTCAAGCAGCAACCCTAACATGCAATTGGATGACCACCCCACATATGGCAGTTGTACAAAATGACTTTGCCTGCGGACCCTCCATCGCCAGCCAATCGCGATCCAATCGCGATCCCACAGGTTCCAATCGCGGAGCAACGTTGGGCATCGCTCCTGTTTCTGTTTCGAGTTTCGCCGTCTTATCTCAAGCTCTGGCCTTCCTCCACGCAACACGAGGAAGGAAGTGATGTAGCTCGGATGGGAAGGGGCTCACTGGTGGAACTCGTTCAATCGCAGTCCAATCACCGTCCAATCGCGAATTTCGGCGGTGAAACTTCGGCTTGCAGCTTCCAGCCCTTGCCAGCAAGCAGATTTGCAAAGCACCCTCTGGCCCGGCACAAACGAAAAACATTCAGAACTCTGAGAGGGAACTCTTGCACGAGCCCGCGCAGTCAAAATCAGCGAGACGTGCGTCGGCACCGTACACAATTAATTTGTTGCCCTTTCGCGGTCCAATCGCCGGCCTTCCGCGGCTCGAGTTTTACCAATCGCGCAGTTCAACAAGTTGCCGCTGTCCACAATTTTTAGACATGCAATTACGGACAGCCCCCATATACCCTACATGTAACCCACGGAACGGGCGCCCGATGGCCTTTTGGGGGGGGTCGACTCCCAAAACAACCTGATTCACAAGCAGCTCCCCCAAATCAAGCCAGTCAACATGGCCACGCTGCATCCTTTAAGCAACCTTGTCAGGTACATAGCAAATTCATGGCAGTTCACTGCACGTTGATACTCTGCTTGGCCAGGACTCTTTACTGCTCCGAAACATATGTTTGGTTCCTTTGTGGATAAACTGTTGTATGGCAACCTGTCTGAACAACATTGTCCCTGGTTTCATCTTACCTTGAAAAGGGCCCAAAAAAACTAAGGGAGACCCGTCGAAAAATGTTTGCGGGGGCCATGGAGTGAACATGTGACATGTGGATGGACAAAATCCAGTTCGCATCGGTTTGAAACCATGGGAAACCCATTATTCCTGAAGGAACTCCATTCTTCCTGGGTATTCACAGGGGGAATCAAATCATTCCAGCAGGGTTTCTGCACGGTGGTGCCTAAGCGAATTTCGTCCACCCACAGTAATACGACATGGAGCCAACATGGGCTCTGCTCCACGGACCCTGGCGCCATATTCCGAGAGGAGACCTCATGCTTTGCGGTTTGTCAGCCCGGAGCTCCACCCTATTTGTGGCCAGTCCTGTCATTTGCATTTTTGCTCCCTGGGAAAAGACAAATATTTCAAGAAGCGATGGATTCCCTGTAAAGCCAACAGGGGAACACAAACGCATACTCTTAAGCAAATGGAAGAGTCCTGTCAAATCTTGTCCTCCCGTCTTCTCGGAGAATTCCGCCTTTGGCACCCTCACTCACAAAAGGCACGATATCAGCGATTTCCGTTCTGAAGGGGCAGTGGCCGAACACCTCCAGTGGCTTTGGGAGAAGGATAGGCGTCTTTAAACGCAAATCGTGTTCCAGCACCCAGAAACAAGAGTGCAACTAACAGAAGGCTTGGTACGTCCGGAGACCCCAAAAGAAAGCACAAGCAACGTGGACCAAGGTAGACCAATTGTGGGGCCTGCCTAAATCTTTGAAAGGAAAACCAAACACAACCAAAAGGCTATCAAAATATGGTAGCCCCGCCGAGAGAGAAAAACAAAGGGGGGGAACAAACCAAAAAACAAAACGACGCTTGCACCCCGAAAAGGCCAGTGACTCAGCTTCCGGCAAACAAGTTCGGCGTCCCCAACCCCCGCCTTCGCCATGGCAAAGGCCTTACTTCCTCAGACTGCCACACCCGGAAGCCGGGGGCCGTTTTGTCTCGGGTGAAACAACATGTCAAATAGCTATCCCATGTTGCCCTCAAATGCCCAGTGGATTTCCATGGAGAAAAATGTTTTGTATTTTTTTTTTTTTGGGGGGGGAGTTGCTTGACTTTCAAGGGGGACCCTTCTCCCCAAACAAAAGGGAAACAAAAGGGGAAAACCCACTGGGCAACTGGGTTGCAACATGCAAACATGTGACGAATGAAGAAACAAACATGGTGTCCAAATCCCAGCCAAACTGGTTCCTCCCATTCACGGCCTTGGAAACTTTGAGGTCAGAGAGCGCCAATTCGGAAGTCATGCGAACTCTCGGGAGCCTCAAGCTCCATTTGCGTTTTTGTCTGGGCAAAATCAAGCATATGTCCACTAGCGATACCCTCCACCAATTAATATGCTGACAGGGGGTTCCTTTAAAAGGAAAATGGTCTTGTCGGACCCTCTGTCAGGTTCCATGCTAATTGGTGGGAGGGTAGCTTCCCTCAAAACAAGCAGGGGAAAATCACGATATTCTTGCGCAAATGGAAGTCAGCGGCTGGTTGCAAATGTTCAACCTTAAAATCAGGATCTGCTTGGCTCTTCAAAAGGCCAGGGAGGACAAACCAAAAACTTGCCCTAAAACCCGAGCCTCCCAAGAAAGACTCTAGACTTTCTGAAGGGATCTCTCTGGATAAAGTTGCCTCGACTCTAGGGAAGAGTCTCTTTCAGGCTGAGTATGCGTCGAAATAGGGGACACCCTGAACAACAACACTCCCTTCATTTGCTTAAGTGCTGGACGAGTGGACATATGTCCAGCAGTGTTACATTCCCTTTCAAGCCAACATGAAAAATACGGCAAACACACACATAAGCAGATGGAAGCCACCCATGTGGGTATGTTGCTTTTGCTAGCCTCCAAAACCATGTATGCCCCTGTCATTTCCCTTGGCAAACAAAAACTGGAAGATAACAACAAACACCCAAAACACCCGGCAGACCCCCCAACCACCCAAACCATCCCGCAAAGCATTCCTGACCACAGAAACCCCGAAACAGGCGCAAAAAAATACCCTACCCAAAACAAGCGGGTACCAACTCAAAAAAAACGGACAGACCCTGGGCGCTCGCGCTCGCTCTCCCAAGCCGAACGGCGGTCCACTGCGCAGTTCCGAACCTCCGTGGCGCACCACTGGCGCTGGTAGACGGCGTGCTGCTGGCACTGGTAACCTCACCCGGCCCCCCCGACTTTCAGGGGGAGGGTGGGATGGGTGGGGGGTTCCCTCATTCCATTTGTCTTGTCTTCTCCATAAAGGGAATGTGGAACCATACATGGAATTCAAGGGGTCACCCCCCTCTCCCGATTCCATTTTTAAGGGGCTGGGGCTACCTCACCCGACCCAGACGTCCGCAATTACCTGGCTAGAATTACGGGCAACGGTAGTACTACTTTACGGCACAAAGCTGCTCTTGTGACGGTTTAGGTCGTCAGTGTGGTGTTGAGTCCTGTTGTCCATGCCCCGCCCACCCCAACTTTACCCCCTTTTCCATCCTTTTCCAAGAAGTGGACAGGAAAATCCCCAAAGGAGAGTCGTCCAGAACCCTCATGAAAGCTGCTATTAGAGGGTAGTGAGCTTTTAGATAAAATAACATAACAATAGATGGGTGTCCCTTGAAACCATTTTTCCAGTGGAACCAATCTATTTCCAAACCAACCTAAAACGGACACCTATATAAGAAGGCAGGAAATTCCTACCTCCAATAGAGCTGGACAGGAATTGCAAAACCGCCTTCCTTTTTTGGGGAACCCTCCCTGTCCACTTTAATTGTGAAAGAGGGTAAGTGGTTGGCAATCATGGCTACAAACCACATACCACGGTAACTGGTCCCAGAATGTCCATTATAACTGAAGGAATATCCAGTTGGAGGGGCACACAACGTCCGGAAATGCGTTGGTAACCATGGTTGTAACTTCCATCCTCGCGCCATAGTTGTCACCCATGGCTCAGCCACTCTCACGAAGTTCACTTGGTGCCCCAAAGTGCTCTCTTCTTTCTCTCACTTGAATGGAGAAACGCCCTGAGGCTCCAGCAAACTGGAGTGAAGCAGCCAGGGCAGTTGAGGACTGCATCTGTACCTCAGTTGACCCGCCAACGAAGAACATTCCCAATTCTTATCCCGCGTCATGTCTCTTTTTTGGGGGCCAAACAAAGGGTCTTTGTTTGTCGCAAAGAGGAATGAATAGCAAACCAATTTGCTTGTCCAAACCTCTTCGCCACTGGCTCTCGGGATAAACACGGAACCCAAACAGTGTGCCTGAAGAAGTCCGTGGAAGGGATCTTTTTATGTTTATCCGAGCTGCCTTTGTTGTTTCAAAGTGTACCCAAGCACGTTAAGAGACACTGTTCGGAGCAGCTTGGGTTCTGTGCCTAGCTGCAGGGTGAGTAAAAACGATACCTTACGGAAGCAGCTGGCAGACCAACAAGATCTCATTGAACTCCTTTTGCCCGGCAGCGCCTGTGATACCAAAGCAAGGCATGCCGACATCTCCACTAGGTGCTTGATCGCTTCAAAGGGGGGGTTCTTTTTACAGAAATTGGGCCCGAAAAACAACATGCTTCCACAAATGACCAAAACGTAAAGATACACGAACCTGGCTTGGGAACATCGCACAAAACCTTGCTTCCCAAAACCCTCCATTTGCTCAAGCCCCAGGAAAAACAAACATGAGGGATTCAGGGATTGCCCTTCAAACCAACAGGGGGAACATCAAACAACTATTCTGAAGCAAAAGAAGGAGCCAAGGCACGCAATCCCAGCCTTTCCCACGTAAAATCAAAAGAAAGTCAGCTTCCCTCTACCGGGTCGTTTGGATTGGTGGTGTTGGGTTTTGGGGGTTTCCCATGCAAAGCCTCTACACGAAGCAGGGAGCAAATCCAAATCCAAACCACCAACTAAGGGCAACCAGCGGAAAAAAAGGGAATGACCCCAAACCATCCAACTGGTGGTTTCCTTTAAGGGGACCTTCTTCTGGTCCACATTCCCCATCGACACACGGCGACGCCTTGGAAGCAACGACGACCGAGGCGCTTCGGACATTCTTCTTGTCCGGCTGCAACAGCTGCTCCTCGGTACTTGGCCATCCAGCTGCCCCCCGAGGAGAAAACAACCAGCACGGGCCAAGAGAAAAGAGGAAAAATGGCCCCCACCCCCCGAGGAAAAAACAAGAAAAACAAAAAGCACACACACACACAGACACAAAGCAAATAAGAAAACACGGGTCAGGCCAAATTTGGGATGTCCATGCGGGTTGGTCAAATAGGGGGACCCCCGCAAAAGATCAGTGGTTTCCTTTGAGTGAGTGGGTTTGAGGTGATGGGTGTGTTTTCCGGGTTGTCTCCGCTGAGAAAACCACCCGGAAAAAGCCTAAAAACGGTGAACCGTGCCTCTTTTCACAGCACGAGCCCCTTTCTCTTCGCCGCATCTCTGAGTCTTGTTTCAGTTTCGGAGCCCTAGGCCCCAGGCAACAGCTCTCCCGGCCAAACATGCCCAACAATCACCTTGGAACCACCTTCCCCTTTTGGTGGTTTGGTGGTGGAGTGCTCTGGTGTGGTGGTCTGGTGCTTTGGTTTGGCGGTCTGGACCTTAGGAAACACCTTCCCGACCTGGCGTCAAACAACCACCCCAAAATGACCATGGACATATCATCCTCTTGTGGTTGTCCCGAATGGTCATCCAATGCCTTCGGTTTCGTTAACTTCCAGAGGGGTGTCCTATGGTTCCTATAAAGCTGGCTTCCCTGGTAAAGGTGACCCGCTAAATTTGGCGGTCTCGAGTCTCGAAAATCCAAAAATATTACAAATCCCAGTTTCTCATTGCATGAATTACCCTGGATACCCACGAGGGTCCTTTCCAAAGGAAAATAGTCTAGGACCCCGAAACGTCAGGCTCCATGGCAACGTGGACAGGGTGAACGTTATAGTTGTTGATCGCTGACTCACTGCCAAGTCTCCGCAACCCATCTTTCGTCCTGGCGCAGAGATGACGCTCTCCCGTGAATGGATAAGATGATCTGCCCTGTTGAGTTGACTGGCTACCTCCTTGGTGGTTGTTCCCCCCGCCAAAAAGTTCAACTGCTGGTTGGCATTTTGTCGCCGTGTGTCAAAGAGGTTCAGGCAGGTGGCTGGTTCGTTGTTGTTTATGATTATGGCATCAAAAGTGAAGACTAACACTCCAAACAGAGACAAACAACACATACAGAGTGTGATTGAAACATTAGCCATTAGAAAGCTTGTTTTGCCATGATGTGTTCATTCATGTATGATGTAGTGACTCCATTCTTTTTTGCACAACCCCAATCAAGGACATCTCAAGCCCACCATCAGTCACAAGCTGAGCTCGGTTGACAAGCACGGCTGCTTTCCGGAGTTGCTCAGCTCACAGGCCAGAATTTGAGCTTAAGCTGACTGTCCAGCCCTAAAATGACGAAGACACCTGGCGGCCACAAGCTGCAAGCTTGGAAATTGAACAGGCAAGCTGCTGGCGGGCGCCCCCACCTGCTCACAGAATCAACAAGCAACGCAGGTAGTATGTCTCCAAAGAGTTACACATACTATTATCTTATCATAGTTGACTCGATGCTTTTTGTTTAAAAGAATCCTCCATGACCCTAAGTTATTTTAGAAACTTTATAGTTGAAGCCTTCCGCAAAGGCTCGGCTGAGATCTCCTGGTCGTCGGCCTCTGGGTCATGCAAAGGATCGTTGTCAAAGTTCTCGGCGACATCCTCCCACCATGTTTTCGGGCGTGATGCATGTCCCACCTGTGGCGGGGGATCGCCTAGGAGACGTTAAAGGACTAAATATTTGGAATGGAGTTGTGGGGCACTGTGAACCCATCGACCATGATTCTGGGCTGCAATGTGCCTCCCTGCAAAGCGTGATGCCTGTTACTTGAAACCAACAAGCAAAGCTCTTTGACGAGGGATGGCCAGCCAACGAAGAAAGCACATTTCAAGCTTTCAAGCTTGGTCATCTCAGCAACATCTCACCCCTCGGTATGTTTTTGATTTTACGCCCTGGACGGAACCGTTGGGCCAAAACCTTCGAACCGCTGCAACGAGGTTGCAGAGCGGCTTTTCCAAGGCCAGCCCCGCAACAACAAACAAAAAAGGTGAACAACAAGGCGGCCTGAAAACTAACTCGGTGACACCCGCAACGGTTTATGTTTTTAGGCCCCCAACACCCTCCACTGCAGCCCCGAGAAATAACTCAGTTGTTCAGTGATCCTGGAAAAAAAGGGGAACCCTTTTTGGGGAAGACCATTTTAGCGGGGCAGCCACCAAAAAAACAACGAAAAGGGTTCCACTGAACAACTGAGATAAAAAGCAACACGTGCCAGGAGCGGTGAAGTTAAGAGCTGATGGGAGAAAGCTGCTCTCTAGCCACGGATGTCTTGGTGTCTTTGAGACAACTCTCCGAATTCTGCGAAGTGTTGGTCTCACTTGGCTGTGCCCTTGTTGAAGGCACATCTTTGGGGGTATGGACGTAAAGGGAACCGCAACCAAACGGAACCTCCAACACATGAACTAAAGGGAGCCGCCGCCACTTTTTAAGGGAACTTTAAACAAAAGTAAAAAAAGAAAAGAACAAGTAATAAGAACAACAAACACGCCATGTTGGGGGGGGCCCGGTGTTAAACATGTCCAGGTCCTCCGAGGGCTTGCTGGTCCACTGCAGCAGGTGTGGTCGCAGCACGAGGCCAGGCTTGACGGGCGGATCCCAGTCGTCGTCCTCCTCATCCACCTCCAACGGAGCAGTGCCCATCGTTTGTCAATCAAACCCAATGGAGTGGATGTGTCAGTTACCGCTAGAATGGCCCGAACCCAAAACGTCTAAAGCCCATGAACTCAGGAATTGAGATACGGTTCTTCTTGCCTAAAATCAAAAACCAATAGAACACCTAACGCTATTTTTGCCAGTTGGTCACCCATTTCAACCCCCCAGCCAGAGAGGTGAGAGAAACGTGCAGTAGATCTGTTGCTTGGCTGTGTGCCCTCAAAAGTTTCACTTGCCTGCAACCGAAATACTCTCCCCTGCAGCTTGCCATACCGAAAAAGGGACCCCCCAGAAGGAGTTTCCTTGAAAGGCGCTTCTTTGGGGTCCGGCAACTGTGACCCGCATGGAACATGGAAGCATGACTCAAACCTGCCTCTCTTGGATCAGTTCAAGCACCTGGGGGTGAGCACTCGCCATCCAAAAGCCAAAGACCAGCAGAACCCCTCGGGCTTCGGAGAGATGGCAGCCTCGGGATCTCATAGAAAACTGAACCTCTTGGATGATTTCGGCATCAAACTTCAGGGAATCAGTTGCATGGAATCATCTTCTCCGCCCATTCTTCCACCTGTGTGCAAACCATTCTCCGAAATGGATGCATTAAGTTGCGTGGTAAGAACCACTTGCCTTTGTAATCATAATCATATTTTACTTCATAGGGTATCAACATGGTGGCTTACACAACGGCTGCACAAGTCAGAAGCCCGCCTCCATAGAGGTCATGGCCACTTGAGGATTCAAGCTGAAGCCGAGAGCCAGCGATGCGCGGAGCCCTTCGTCAAATCAGATGGTTAGCCCCGACTTCCCATGACACCCGAGGGAAACCCCGGACGAAAGGGGGGTAAGGCGACTGAGAGAACTCATGCGAGAGTGGAATTTGACAATGTCACCACCACTTACGTACCCTCAACCCTTGAAGTAGCTATGTACCCCTCCCCTGCAGATTGACCTGGAAAACAAATAAACACACACACACACACACCCACGCGCACGCGCTGGGGACACACATGGGGGTCCCGCAAACAGATTCCTCAAAAGCAATGTTTGCTCTGGGCTTCTATGTTAACCGTGAACCTGCAGAAGTGCAAGTGGGACGCCGAGGCACGCAGGCATGGTACAACTAATCATCGTGGCACCCTTGCACATTTACTTGAACCACCAAGCACAGAGCATGTTGATTTTGGCCTTTTAAAATTCGGGCCAAAGAGAAACGGGTAGGAGTGTGACTGGGGGGCAACAAACGGGTTCTATTGGATAATACACACATGGTTCCTTCGGTGCAAGCGATGCGAACCCGTTTGTTGGAACTCGTTGAACGTGTCCCCTGATCCAAGACCTCTTAGACTAGCTATTCCAAATCCGCCGAAAAAACGTTGACTTGTTGATGGTTCGTGGGATCTCGACATTTGTTTGCCAACTGCAAGCTATGGGGTCTCTGCCCAGATAGGCTAAGGGCTGTTGGGGATACCACCTGGGCTCTCACATGCCCAACCACTCTCGATCCTCGAGGCGCCCGCCACGGCTGGGCGGTAAACCCCTGGGAGGGAGAGACGGAGAGGCAACCTGCGGCGGTGAAAGGGCAGTTTCCTCCTGTTGGTTTCTGACTTTTCCTTGTTTGGTTTCTGTTTTTTTGGCGTTGGTCTCCTTTTTTGGTTCCCTGTTTAGTTTGATTCCCGTTCTGGTTGGTTTCCCATTGCGATTTTGGCTTCCTGAGTTTCCGGAACTTCCGTTTTGAATTCAATTGAGTGTGAAGGCGATATCCTCTGTACCTTACAGGCTGACAATGTCTTTGGTAAAGCTGCTAATGACATCTAATGACGAATGCTTCCCTTAATGGAGCCTGCCGGGCACTCCGAAAGGCCGAATGCACACTGCCTCTTGACATAAAACATGAAGAAAGAATCTGACACTAGGAAGGAACCGCCCCTTTGGGTCGCATGTAAAATTGCGGACCTAAACCTATGCGTTAAACCTGGCGACCTTTTTTCAGGAACACGTTGGCATGCCTGTAAAGGGGAAACCTACACTTTCAAGGGGAGACAACACCACCCGGGTATGAGGCCCTGATAGCCCCTGTTTCATGGATTGATTCTGCTACACAGATGGGAACCCAGCCAGCCGAGGCCCAACATGAGGCTTCACACCTCAATATGTTTGCAACTTCCTCTTCGGGACAATCTGTGTGATGACTGGCCTCAGCACTTTACCCATAGGTGTCCTTTGAAAAAAAAGACGGACCTGGTAAATGGAACAAAACCAATCTAAACCAGTGCCTCCAATTTTTGACCACACGGTTCTAAAAAGGACACCTATGACTTTACCATCATCAAAGTCACCCCCCAAGTGGAAGGTTGATAGAGGAACGCAACCTCGGTTGCTGAAATAATAACCAAAAACTCCCTAGGCTTGGGAAACACTGATTTAGATCTACTAGGTCCTCCAGTAGAGAGGTTAGAATAAGGGTCCCCCTTTTTTTCTGTAGTCTATTTTAGTAGGGGAACCCCCCCCAACCAAAAAGAAACGGTCCAAGTTGGCACCTAGCTGGTGCGGACCTAGTCCAGCAAGTCATGAGACTTCGAGGCGCAGAGCCTAGATCGGGGCCTGGCGTGAAAGGCCTCCAGCGGAATGCCCAACGACTCCTGCGACGCGTCCTCGTACATCTCCCGCAGCTGCGGCCTCGGATCCATCGAAGACATCCCGAGTTTGGTCCCACGACTGGTCGGCCCTGCGCTGGTCATCGCTCTGGGCTGGTCATGTTTCTTGCCTGCTGCCCACCCAAAAAAGAAAAACAACTTTTGGGGCCATGACTAAAAAGGGACCAAAACAGGACACCAAAAGATCAAAAGATAAATTCGCTTTGGACAAGTGAGGTTTAGTGAAACAAAACGAGGATCAATGGCCGAAACTCGTGGGGCGCAGGCGGATACGTCACTTCGCTGCCAGGCAGAGGCAGCACTGCCTGGTTCGAATTTAGACGATCAGATGCATTTCCCGCGCGCCCCCTTCCCTGGTTCAAACCACCATTACAACCAATGGGCGGGTCATATAACCACCCTTGGTTTCCTAAGGATTGTCATCATCCGAATTGGCTCAACCTTTCTTCTAATGGGGGTTGAACCCTAGGGCCTTGCTGGTTTTCAGCAAGGAATGAGCGAACTACCCCTTTGAACCATGTTCGCATGGCTTCCTGCTAGAGCATCCCTTCATTTCTTCCCTATGTCTGTGGGCTTCCCTACTGGGAACCAGCAAAACGAGCGCACACACACACACACACACACACACGCACAAACAACACTGCAAAAAAAAACAAAAAAACAGAGACACACAAACAACTTGTGTGCCTGTCCCTTACCAGAACTGCCAGGGTATCCTGTTCTGGAGGACATGTTGAGAGCCCGCCCCCCAACACACAAACAAAACTAAGCAATTGAACAACGAGCGTGCCCAGCCCGCACTTGCCTTCCACTCCCACTCACATCAAAAAAAGCAAAACGCTTACCCTCTCGCGCAATCTGGGTGCCAAACATGGAGGTTGATGATAAGGTCCGTTTCATGGGGTGACCATTGGGGAGGGCGAGATTTAGCACCCAATGAAACAGCTGCGCATTGAACAAGTGACTGTGACTGCATTGAGCTGGCGAAGCAAATTACTTTGTTGAGCACATTCACACGCCCCATGACAACATGTTGTGTTGCTACATTGAGCTGGCGCGCAACATTTCAGCAAATTACTTTGTTGAGCACATTCACAGGCCCCATCCTGATCCAAGGAGTTGTTTTTTATGACAACATTTCTCCGGCGACCGGTTTCCCCGCATTTCGGGCTCCCCAATGTGAAACGGATCCAAGAAACCGGACAAACAAAGACATGCTTTGCTTGTAGGAACACAGCATGGCCGCTGCCCAAAGCCCCAAGCTTCCTGGGGGAACTTCGGGTTCAAACATCACCACCAACAGTGGGCCCTAGGGTTCAACCCCCATCAAAAGAAAGGTTGAGCCAATTTGGATGATGACAATCCCTAGCAAAACAAGGGTGGTATGACCCCCCCATTGGTTTTAATGGTGGTAACTGAACCCCAGCGTTTCTCTTGGTCCAAAGTCATCGGAAGGTCTCCGCCTCGGCCCCAACCGCCCCAGCTGTCGCCTCTGTGTCTTCTAGATCCAGCGCTCGAGAACCTGAGCGGCCGCAAATTGACTTCGAGACCAGGTGTTCAACAGGTAGGTCCTCCAGATTTGAGAGGTTAGATTAGGGTACCCATTTTTTCTGTAGTCTACTGTAGTAGGGGAACCCTCCCCAAAAAAAGTTGGTAAAAGGGTACTACTGGGGGACCTAGGGTAAGTGGGGTGTTCCCCTATGTTAACCGAAAATGATCACAAATACACACAAATAACCAGGTTTGATTTGCAAACGCTAGTTTCCCCCTAAGCTAAAAAAGGTTCCCCTCCCTACGAACATAGCAGTGACAAGGCTTCTGGAAGATCAATTTCTTCCAGGGCCATTTCCCGGTCTTGGTTCCTTTTGCGTTTGTTGGCACCAAAGGCTTGGATGTTCTTGTCTGCGCAGATATGAGGTCAATCCACCAATCCCTGGCTTTGGGATCCGCAGCTTTGGGAAGAAGTCTTGGGCTTGCTTCCCGGACCAGCTTGGTGAGCTTGGTGTTGGTTGATCTCGTTTGTACCTCTAAGGATCTTCCCAGTACACCCTAGGGAGGCTACCTAAAACAATCCCAAATAAGCCCACACAACCGGGATATCTGCAAATACGCTAGAATAGGGTGATTCCCAGGAGGGCGTAATCCCAGGGTGTAACTGGAAACCCTTGGAGCACCCAAGTCGGAGCGCCCGCGAAAACAAGGCACGAGCTGGCAACCCAAAACCGAAATGTTCAGCTCTGGGTCATAATTCTAAGGGTTGATTCCCCATTCTTTCCAACCAGCGTTCTTTTCAAAAACCGGCAGTTTTTCTGGGCTTCCGGAGGTTTTCTAGAAAGAAGGATCCCTGGAAAGAATGGGGAAGGTAGAATCATGTGCCAACCCTACACAAAATTTACTCAGTCATAGTGGGGGGAGCCCCCTCTGCCGGTCACACCGGCAGGGTCCCTTTGAGCATTCCTTTGCGCCAATCCACGCATCCTTATTGTACCAGCTGATTTTGGATTCCTTCAAATAACAATGCCCCATGGATTGGACTGCCGAGTCATTTTTGGGACTTGAGGCCATGGCTCCGCTTGGATTTTCTCTGGGGGAGGGGGTTCCACTCTTTGGCGGGCTGGCCACAGAAACATGTGTCTTAAGCTGCCAAAAACCACTCAGGAAGGCCCTCACTTTCCGATTTAACCAACCACCCCCACCCAACCTTTTTAACCCCCCTTCCTTTTTAACCCGCTTTAACCAGCTTCCTTTTTAACCCATCCACCCCAAAGAAAAACAAATGGCACTGAAAGCCGCCGCCCCCATGCTGGGCTGCCAGCTGGCCACCTGGGAAAGGACCTCCAATGCAAGCGAGCACCCCGCCCTCCCTGCAAAAGAGATGCCGCCCATGAACCCAGAAACCAGACAGAAACCAAGAAGCCCCCGTTTCAAGTGTGTTTCTGATTTGTGTTTGCTTTAATAGTGCAGGGTAGCCTCTGCCTTGCCAAAACGCCTGAAACAAAAGGGGTGTCTGTTTCAGTCGTGCTTCTGATTTGGATTTGTTTCAAGAGAGGGTAGCCTATGCCTTGCCAAAGCTTTTAGCTTTTCCTCCCCAAAGCTGGGCTATGGGATCGGCACAAACCAACTCATTGTGTTCGCCAAAACCTGGCCATCAATTCAAATGGGACAAGGTTGCTCAAAGACTGGGCGCTTAACCCAACCCTGCACAAACAAAGGGATCCGGTTCATGGACCATGGACTTCAGAATTAACATGTCAGAACAGATCCTTATCAATATTGAGATGGGTCTCGCTTTTGGACTGGAGGACCTTTTGCTTCTCTCTGAGGAACCGCCATTGTGTGTGTCCCTTACTGTTTGGAGAGACGCATGCATGCAGTCATTTGGTTCCTTTGTTGCCGTTCATGGTTAGGAAAAAGGGCTCTACAAACATCAGCATAGTTACACGTGTACATGCCACACACACCCATCACTGCTGCCTAGACCCAAGAGTGGCTTGTTCGATTGCCCAACTTGAGCACAAGCGAGCTCACAAAACACACCCGCTGATAAACTACAGTTAGGGTCTGGAATTGTCAAGAATTGGTGTCAGGTGGTTCCAACGCGGAGGGTAGGTTCCTAAGGGTGTACATACAATAATAATAGTAATAATACTATGATAATAATATATATATATATATATGTATATATGTGTGTGTGTGTCTGTGTGCAGGTATAGCTACACGTACACATGCGCCATATGCAACGTACAAGGGGTTTACATGCAAATATGTGCATATAAAAACCCAGCATGAACAACAAGCAAACACGCATCAAGCAAGCAACCAAACAAACACACAAACTCAATGACTCACTGAAACCAGCAAGAAAAAAAGCACACAAACAAACAAACAATCAAACAAGCAAGCAAGCAAGCAAGCAAGCAAACAAACAAACAAACAAACAAACAAACAAACACACAAGCAAGCAAGCAAACAAACAAACAAACAAGCAAACAAACAAACAAACAAACCAACCAACAAACAAACAAACAAACCAACCAACAATCAAGCAAACAAACAAACTACGATTCGTTCTTCGTTTGTCGAGTTGTTGGTTTCTTGGTTGGTTTTGTTGTAATTGTGGTTGACTTATTCATGTGTAACATATATACATATATATATATTATATATTCATATTGCATGAGTTTGTTTGATTGAATGTGATTTATGTGTTGATCATTTGTTGTACTTTAATTTTGAGTGACACAACACACACACACAAACACATAACTAACTCCATACACACACACAAACATCACGTAAACACAAGAATACACTTCAGCTCACTCACTCACTCACTCACTCACTCACTCACTCACTCACTCACTCACTCACTCACTGACTCACTCACTCTCACTCACTCACTCACTCACTCACTCACTCACTCACTCACTCACTCACTCACTCACTCACTCACTCACTCACTCACTCACTCACTCACTCCATGCGAACCCAGAAAATGGCATCCGCAAAGCTCAGCGAGCCATGTGAGTGAAGACCCCTCAAGTGCAACTCCTACGGAAACGGTTTCATTGGTTTCATTCGCTTTGGGCGCTGTGATTTTCTCATTGCAAGAGGTGCCTGGTTGAAGATGAGGCTCTGTGCCGACTTCACCTGAGCTTTGGTTCCCGAGCCCGGGCACTTCGATGGAATGGGGTTCCGGGGTACGGCAAAGCCAAATGAGTAACGATCAACACCCATCGGTATTGAAATGCTGTACCCACACCAAAGTAAAGAACTGCAACGGCCACGAATTCTGGCTGAGACTTCCCTCAACCTTCATACAAACTTCGGTGAAGATTATGGCTCAACTTCGGTGAAGGAAGAGAGTAAATTAGAGACCCTTTGGGCCCTATGACGTTCCCAATCTTTGCACCCTTCCTTGCGCAAAACCAGGGGCCCGGGGAAACGCTCGCTACAGAAGAATTGGCACTGCAGTTTCTCCGTTTCAGTCTTGGTTTCTGTTGACCCCTCTGCAACAAGTTTTTATCTTTTTGTGGGTTTAGTGGAAAACCCCCTGATTTCCCAAAACGTTAAAATCCAAAGATCCAACCCAATAGCAGTCAAGCAGTGGCATCGGAATTCCACCGACACTTTCGCAGTGCTCCTTTTTGAACATCAGCCCAGCACAGGAAACGCGCCTATGAAGAAGGTGCGGAAAGGGAAGTCCAAGGGATATCAAAGTGATTGCAAGGACCTTGAAAGATCTAGGGGCCCCTGCGTAACCTAGCTCTTCAACTTTGAGCCACGCCCATTTGACATGGCCAACCGGACTCCCGATACTTCCCCTCAAGCACCCCACCATTTGAGGATACTCATCTGAAAGTGGCCCCACTGGTGTTGGGTTTCTCGCTAAAAGTGACCATCTTGTGGTTCTGGAAACTACCACTAGGGGATGACTGGGAGCCACCCCGGACCGACACCCTCCGAGGGGCATACAGCATCAGCAGCTGCCGCGGCAGACGCAACAGGGCCTCTTCCGCCGAAGACCCCGCCGCGAGGCTCTTTAACAAGCCTCGAGCCACGAGCCGACGGGAGGCCCAGTTGCGTTTTTGTCCCCTGGAAAAAATAATCATAATTCCGGTAGTGATAGATTTCCTTTAAAGCCAACAGGGGAAAATAAAAAATGCTCTTAACCAAATGGAAGTGGTTTGTTTGCCTTGCTTCTCCACTGGAAAAAAATGACAATGCCGAAACCGAGTTGTCAAATCCGGCAAGGAAACGGAATTCAATGCGTTTCTTTCCTCAGGCATGGTGCAGTTGTCCAAACTTGAGCGCAATTGTTCCAAGTCTTAAATAGGGTGTCTGGAAAAACACATGCGCATTTCTTGCTGCGACAACTGCAGATCGCGGGGCTAGTTAGTGTTCGTTTGCTGACCTTGGCGCGTATGAAGTGGAATTAGCCTGTTTTAGCCCTTTCTGGCTTGTTCAAATGTATCTGCCAGTAAGTATGTGAGCACATGGAAGGGACACTACAAGCTGTACAGGTGCTGCCCAAATCTGCATGTGTTCAAAATGTCTGAGACATGAACTAAGAATTGGACTTGCGAGTAAAACACGTCTACATCCTGGCAAGCTTGTCGTACTCCTGACTCGAGCTCTCTCAGGTCACCTGCCACTAATAGCACAGCCGAAGGGCTTCAGCAGCAATCCGCGGGGGCTCCCCAAGTTCCCCTGTTTTCCGCAGTTGCGGCAGTTTCGGCGGCAGTTCCGCCGGTAAATTGATCAACTCTTGAAAGAGGAATCGAGTAAAACTCTAGGGCTAGCTTCCCCATTCTTTCCACGCTTCTTTCTAGAAAACCACCAACAGCCCTGGGGAAACGGCTGGTTCTGAAAACAACGATGGTTGAAAAGAATGGGGAATCAACCCCTAGAAACAATATTAACAAAAACAACTGACAATGGGGCTGCCACAGCCCATCTACCGCGGACCGCAAAAAACCGTATTCCGTGGGGCCTCGCTCTACTGCGTGGCGCTTGGGCATCAGGATCAGGGCCTCCTCCAGAGGCAGAAACCCCAAGTGGAACGGGTGAGGTGGAAAGGCCTAAAATGTGATTCTGGGTCCTCCAGTAGGGAGGTTAGAATAAGGGTGCCAACTTTTTGCTGTAGTCTATTCTAGTAGGGGAACCCTCCCCCAAAAAAGGATAAAATAGCAGTACTGGGGGACCTAGGGTTTAGACCACTTGAGCTTGAGGTGTCCTACTTCGACTGTGCGTGCAAGCGTTTGCTCGAGCGTCATTCGTAAGTTTAAAGCGCAGGCAGCAGTTTAGAGCTCTTTGTTCAAATTGTGTGACAGGCTCCGCGCTTCAGAGCCTTTCCGCGCTGATTGTGTGGCAGGCGCAGCACTTTGACATACTTCCGATATTGATAAGGTCCCTTTGCATCCGCCAGGGGAAAGTGGACACTGACACATATTCTTGAGTAACTGGAAGCATGGCTTTGGCTGCTCAACGCTTTCCTGGCTGCGGCCGACCCGCCTCCGCCAGTGTTGTGTTGTTGGTGTCCAGCGACTTCAGTGCGAGCCGTTGGGCCTCCTGAGAAGGGGCTGGTGCCAAAGGGCACCAAGTGGCCACAATGAGAGGTGCCAGTTTTCCTTTTGGGGGGTTGTTTGCAGGGGCTGCCATAGAAACAAAACAACACCCGGCCGCAGTTTGCACCATGTTGAGGGATCCTGTTAAGGGGTTGTGTTGAGAGGATATGACAACCTGGTCCCCTATTCCTATGAGGACCCAGCACGTACCATTTGTGTGGGAACGCGTTTGAGACACACCTGTGGCCCTCCCAATTCGCAACGCGACCGACAGAAGTGCCCTGGTGGCCGGTCACATGACCATGGTTACATGGTCTGCCCATAAACAAAGGGCACCTAAAGGATAGCCTCCTTCATTACTCACCAACAGGGCTCCCCTTTAAACATTAAGGGAATCCTCATTTAAAATTGACCCGCCTGCTGTTTACAAGCACCAGGAATAAAAACAAAACAAAGCAAAAACAAAAAAACACCAAAAAAAAGAAACAAGTAGAAGGACCCCTGAAGGGACTGCCTGACCACGTCGGTCGGATCGACAGTCTCCTCCACTGCCGGCTTCTGGAGATCAGCCAGCACGCTATCACCCAGCTGCAGGCCTGAGTCGGGTTCCACCGTGATTTTTGTTTGGGGACCAGCGGCAGGTCATACTTGCCGTACAAGAAGCTAACTTGCCAAAGATCTACAAAACCGGTTTGGTCAATAACCAACAACCCTGTTTTGTGGATACTTGGCAAACTTCCTGCAGAACTTCCCGTGGGACAGGTAGCAATGGGAGGCCACCTTTGTGGCACCCTTCGAGTGAACCCTCAGAGGCGGCCAGGGCTTACCGCTACCAGAGGGGACAAGCCTGGATGTAGGTTGGGCTGCATAATTGATATACAACCACTTAAAGGGGCGAATCGGATAAGAACCGACCAACCGACTCAGGTGACTTCAGGCTTTGGTGGGGTACAAAGGTACCATGGCTGCGCCAACTTTCACTTGGAGCTTCCATGGAAATTGCTTGAAGGAGAACCTCCTACAAGCAAAAAAAACAAAAAACATCCACCAACCCAAAGTAGCTGGATGTATCACTCCACCCCACACGGCTCCAACCCAAGTGCCCCTAAAGGGCACGACTAAAAAGGTGATCACCTTTTGGGACCTTAGAGTAAAAATGGGTGTGGCTCAAAATTAAACAGGAGGGGTTACGCAGGTATTGGTCCATGTTTCCACTTATCAGGGTTCCATTTTGACCGGTTTTTTGAGCCACAGCCAAAAGGACCAACAAGGGAAACCCGACAGGTCAAAAAGGTTGCGACCTGCCGGACCCCGTCAAAGGCACGCAGCGCTCGTGGTAGGTCCTGCGCCAGGATGGCGGCGCCCACCTCGAGGGAAGGAGTTGGAAGAGTTGGAACTAGGTCCTCCTCAGTCGCCCAAAGGACCCAGGATTACAAGGTTAACCTGTTGGGGCCTTTACTAAACCCAAAAAAAAAACGGCTTTGGGCAACTCCAGTACTGAGCCTCCAGTACTCCAAGTGTTCCCCAGAGGCAGTCAATACAAGAACCCACAATTCCCTAGGCTTGGGAAACACCGATTCAGATCTACTAGGTCCTCCAGATTTGAGAGGTTAGAGGTTCGGGTACCCTACTTTTTCTGTAGTCGATTTTACTAGGGGAACCCTCCCAACCAAAAAGGAAACGGTAAAAGGGCACTACTGGGGGACCTAGGCAATCGCCCGAAACGATCTGAACCATCCCATTTTCATTCCAGAAGTGGCCATGGGGCTGTGCTTTTTGAACTTACAAATACCTCGAAAGGCATTTCACTGCCAAATAAACACAGCCCCCCGTGGCATTCCGGCCTCTTCTGTTTTAAGTGCCCTGAATTCAAAAAGTCGCTTGGTTCATTCTCAGATTCGACCCAACAAGTTCAGTCACTTGGACTGGCCACAAAGGGGCTAACTACAGCCTGGATTTGCCACGGACATCCTCCTCCCAAAAAATGATTGCAGTACAGACTCTTGGAAAGCATACTCTTCCACTAGCACACATGCCACCTGACCGGAAGACCATGTTCCGCCAGTGATGCAGATCCCCAGATAAGTAGGGCCCCTGTCCAAACTATGGGAAAAAAGGTTTCCTACGAGGCAGTTGCCCTACCCAAAACAAAGCATACTTGGGCCTTCTTGAATCGGGATATGAACAACGTTCCCCTGCGTGCCCCTAAAAACTAGCTGGAAACGTGGCAAAGAAAGCCACCGTACCTCCTCTTTGCAAGCTTCACAAGATGTTGACATCTGCAAACCGGTTGCTTCGCCACAGCAAGCTGCTGGCTTGTCATCACGTGGAGTTGGATTGTGGGATTCTCGCCTGCCGCTGAGAGAGAGAAGCCACATGGTATGGTAGCCAGACTTGCTTTTTTGCGGCCACTACTAAAAATACACAGAACCACAAAACATAAACACCTAAAAGCATGCAAATTACAGTGAAGGTATACAGTATACATCCTATCTTCCCTTGTGGTGCGGCGGCAGGAACCCTCTAGGCATCGGAAATCTCTAGCCAAGGGGCGTGGTAGGACCGGATCATCTGAGAGCCAAACCTGACATTGAAAGCTGTGACCCGAATGGTAGCAAACAGGGGCGGGGATTCTTTTGGGGTCGACCATTTTTGGACACTTCCCAGGAGTCGGCCTTTTGCTGGTTGGCCTTTTTCTACATGTTTGCCAACCAGAATAGTTGTCGTCTGAGTCTAGTTCACATTTGGACCTTACTCCATGTCTGCGGAGTGAGTTGATATCCAAGTTTTGGGGTTAACGATTGGGCAGCCCACCCCCCAAAAAAAAAAATGAGTTCTGGGCGGAGTCCGATTTCATCCACCAGCCACCAGAACTCCCATCGCCTTGCGCACTCAGTGTTCCCAAGATTGTCTTCGAACATCACTCCCTAGCGACCCGACAAGCCATGCCAAGAGCCCAAACCCCCAGGTAAGGATAACTATGGGTGTGTCTCCAAGATAGGGGAAGCCCAAAGAAACACAAGGTGATGCCCTCTTGGCGTCATTCTTTGTTTTCTGGCACCCCTCCGCCAAAAAAAAAGAAAGAAAGAGAAAGAAAAAGAAGAAACACAAAAACGGGGGAGCCCGTTAAAAACAGAGAGCCAAACATACCACCCCTATATTCCAACCCAGCGCGTGGCACTCAACCAAAAAAAAAGCGAGGGTCGGCTCCTCGGCTCCGGTCCCGGCTCCGGGGCCTCTGGGTGCCGAAGTAGTTGAGAAAGCCCCGGCGCTCCAAGGCCGCGCAGCTTCGCCGCAAGGACTCCGAGGAGAGCTCCTGACGTCCGGCTTGCCGACGGTTCCACGGGGTCTTAAGGGGTGATCAACATGGAACCCTCAAATGCCCAGTGGATTCCCATGGGAGAAAAACGAAAAAAGGGCATCCCGTTTTTTGGGTTTGTTGACTTTAAAGGGGAAGCAAGCCCCCAAAAAAGTTGGAAAAAGGGCACCACTGGGCAACTGGGAAACCGAACAAAACCAACTGTTCCATTTCTAGGGGACTCCCCGTCTCGTGAAAACAAATCGATTTCAGCCAAAGTTCGTAGGTGGACTACAGATGTTCGTAACCTGTTCCATTTCTAGAGGAACTGGAAATTCGGCTCTTTCGGTTGATTTACGGAGTAAGGACGCCTAAGGCCTTTACCCAGGCAAAGCCGAGGCAATGAAAAGGCTCTTGGACCTTTCGGGCGAAGAAATCGACAAACAGTGGGGGGCCGCTGGAGGGTGTACTAGCCCAAGATGGAGCCCTGCATTTTTCGACCCGGACCCTTCGAGCAAACCATGGACCAGCAACTTACGCTTCAGGGCAGCTTGGGGTCCAGGTAGGATGCCTTGAAAAGAAGCCCCCGATGAAACTGGGCAGTGGAAATTGATGGGTCTTGCTAGTGGCAAACGATTCGGAACATTTAGAGGAAATCAAGAGAAAACCACACATTCTCGGGGGTTCCCTCCACAAACATACCCATTTCTTTCATTACTGCGAATCAACCTCTGAGGCTCATGAACCTCCTAGTCTCCTCGTCCGAAATGCCACGCATCACGACGTTGAAGCGGTTGCCAGACAAGTCGCCCAGGTTCCTGTGACAAAGGGGTTATCGTTTTGCAGGATACCCTTGTGGATGGTTTTGCCCCCGGAAACCAGAGGACAACCATCTCTGAAACCTCAAAAACAGACACGCCCAAAGAGCAGCTGAGATTCAGGGGGCGTGGCTTGACCTCCAGGTTCGACACGCTCAGGCGGCTGTCCCATTCCTCGCATGGAACCCCGCCCTAAGTGACTAGCTGTCAGAGTGGGATTTTTTACCCCCACTCAGTGGATGGCCAAAAAAGGCCCACAATTTTTGTCTACCTCTGAAATGGTATTCCCAAAAAGTATGAAGTCAAGAACTCAGGCAGTGACATAGTGAGTATCAACAGTGGATATTAACGGCAGTTGGGCGGTCTTCCAATGTCATCTGCTCCGACTAAGGCGCATGCCATGGCTTGAAAAGAAAGTGCGAGGTCCCCTGTTCCAATCCCCACCAAGAAGCAGCTAGTGCCTCGAAAACTTTCCTCGGTCCGCAAAGCCAAACCCGCGTATACCAGCTGCAGTAAACTCCTCCAAAATTAACATGTAAATGAACAGCCCCCACCAATTCTGAGAACCATGCAAAACCCAATATGGACCCAGCTGCATGTGTTTTAAGTCCTCCAGGGATCCACTCGCCGCCCATGTGTGGCATGCCCCCCCTCCAAACAAAAGAAGAAGAAGCTCTTCGTAGGGGGCAGAGATAATTTGGTGGGATCACCTGCGTCATTCCTAGAAGGCACATGCGTGGGCACTGAAGCTCGGTAGGGGGGCCTTGATTCATGTTGGCTTAGAAGGATCCCTAGAACGAATGCTTGGGAGTTGCTCGTATGAGGGTTCACCAGAGTTCCTTTTGGGAAGCCCCCCTTTTCTTCAAATGAGCAATTGACGACTTGGACGACCACCCCATGGAGAAAAGCAATTTTTCACCGACCCTCATGTGAGTTTGGGTTTTCGGGTAGTACCTTTCTCAGGTTGATTCAAAGGCACGCTTAAAGGAAAACCACTATTTGAGAGCTTTTCCGGGTCTGTCTTTTGTGAGGGAACCCTTTCTTGGGTTGGCTGAAAAGGACACCCACTGCTTCTTGTTTTTCTTTGGGGGGGGAGGTCCCCAAAAAAGACACGCGTCACACGCACACCACACACACACACACGATTTTGACGCCTCTTTTCCCCCGTCGCGCTGAGGCCATGTCTCCGGATGCTCCAAGCAGTGCAAGAGCTCAGCTGGCGCCAGCTGACCGCAGCTCAGCTGCTGCACCGTGACCGCAGTTCGGTCCTCTCGAAGGCCCAAACCGATTCACCGATCTGAAAGTGGGGGGGGCTCTCTTGAAGCGGGGGGGGCCTAAAAAAATGCTAAAATGGAAGACCGGACTCCTGTTTGGACAAAAAAGGAACCCGCCGACAAATCCATATGTCGCCTGAAAACATCACTACCAGCGGAACCTCACCTATGGGCGCCCACACACAAGACCAGTGGAGCATCGTTGCAAAGGAAACTCACCCATTTTAAGGGCCTCAAGGGGACCAAGCCTTGTTCTCTAAGCCAGATTGAATCATAAACGTGCCCCTACCAACCCCCTTCACGCACCACCCAAGCACACCTCCAGCTTGGGTCTATGTGTAGCGTTCTTCAAATGGGTGTGATTGAAACTCGCTCCGGTGTAAATGGTAAAAGTCAACCCCTTAATTACCATCGCGCCAGGCTTCAATCCCCTTGGGCTCTGCAAATGAACCCCCGCTTCATGAATCACAAGAAGTCACCGACCCGATAATAATTCCCCATGAAAGACACCTTCATCATGCAGGCCAACGTCGCAACCCAACCCCGCAACCGTCTCTAAGGAGAGGAAACACACACACACACACACAAACCAATGAACAAACAAATAAGCAAGCAAGCAAGCAAGCAAACAAACAAACAAACAAAACAAACAAACACACAAATCCACTCAAAAAGGGAGGCACTTCTGTTGCACAAACTCACAAACCTGCAGCAAATGTTGGATTTCATCTCCGCGGTTTGTCCCCAAACCTCCATTTGGCTTAAGCCCCCTGACAAAATATGCATATTTCCAGTAGTGATCCATCCCCTTTAAAACCAACAAGGGAAAATTGACAGCATATTCTTAAACAAATGGAAGTGGTTTGTTTGCCTTGCTGCTCCAATGAGAAAAAAGGACAATGCGGGGAACATGAGCCCAAAACCGAGTTATCGAATCCAGCAAGGAAACCACGGGCCATTCTTAAGCAAATGGAAGTAACAGGGGAACCCGAGCCAAACAGGGCATTTTAAACAAAAAAAAGAGGGTGGGCCCCATGTTTCACCGGTTTGTGTTGAAACGGCCCATCGGGGCCAGCTGCTGCCTTGGTGCCCGCGAAGCGGCACCGGCGCCGCAGGCACCGCCCCAGCACCGCCAGGGCGCCGAAGGTGTCGAGGCCTCGGCCGTCGGCGCTCGGCGGATGGCCGTCGGCGGGCGGCGGGCGGCTTGCGCGTGGAGCGCGGAGCCGTGGCTTGGGCCCGGGGCTTTGTTGCTGGAACGACCCCCCGGCAAAAAGTTTGAAGTTTTGTGAGTTTAGTGGAAATCCCCTGCAAAAAGGTGAACCACTGTTGGTGAGTTTAGTGGAGAACCCAACTTGATTTCAACCAAAAAGTCAAAGTCTAAAGATCCAACCCAATAGCAGTCAAGGGGCGTGGAACCAGGCATGGAACCACCAAGGGCTACGCTCAACGGAACCAGCTGACGGGCTGAAAACCTTTCCGGAGACACTAGGTCCTCCAGATTTCAGAGCTTAGAATAAGGGTATACCTTTTTCTCCCGTAGTCTATTTCAGTAGGGGAACCGAATCTCCCCACCAACAAAGAAACGGCAAAAGACATAAATTCACCTAGCTGGGGGAAAGACCGTGGCCGCCCGTGGCCGCCACGCCACGGCGGAAACGGAAAAAGTCGCCGATCCCGGGCCTTCCTTGTAGAGCCGAAAGCGCAGGTCCCAGGTCTCGCCCATGGGCTCCTGGCCCTGGAAGCCTAGGCATTGCCGCATGGACTCTGCAAGCTGGGTGCGTGCTACGTGGGGGTGTCACCTTTTGTTAGGCCACCCGGGGATTCCCCCCCCCAAAACTTTTTTTTTTTACAAACAAAACAAACATGAAAGGTGGGCCTGTTGGTTTCAAGAAAAATGCTCGTGTCCCCAATAAGCGGCCCCTCCCCCAAGGCAATCAAGCACCTTGAACTTGGGCCCGACCGAAATACTTGAGCAGAGTGTAGCGGTGAGTTTGAGACAACTGTCGGCACGTGAGCACTGAAAGAACAAATGAAACCAAATTCAATAATGCTTTCCAAAACATATCCTGTCCCCCTGGAACGAAATCTTCACCCAACTCTGCCAAACCCAGCCGCCAGGCAATGTGACCCTCTTTTCTACTGCTTCAAAACCCAAAAGCCATAGTGACTCAAAACTGCCAAAACTGTACCTACACCTTCTTGAATTGGCCGTGACCGAAGCGGACCAAACGGAACAGAAGGCGGAAGAGCACGAGACTACACTTGCACAAAGCAAGACAAAACAAGAAACACCAACCAGTACTATGGCAACACTAAGCAGTACTAAACAACACTACGTGAATGTAACACCCATTCTAAACCAATACTAAACCAGCACCAAGGCAGCACCAAGCAATACCAAACCAATGACAAAAAATGAACCAATCCGAAACCTATTCTTAAAACAAGTACCAGTTGGAGACGCATATTATTGGGGAGGGGGCTCTGACCCCTATATTGTTTTAGCTGTTGCGGTTTCCTGTTGGGTCAACTCAAAATACGTTTGTTTTTTTTTTTTGGGGGGGGGGGGGGGGCTGACTAATCAGTGCACCTTAATTAGCCTCCAATAATCCTAAACAAGCTGCTATTACCAATGCAAACATGAACAACCTCGTGGTTTAAGGATGCAAGACAACGCCGCGGGGGTAACTTGTTGCCTCAGTTGGTGTCCCGGACTCCCTGTTTTGGAGTGCGTCCCCTTCTCCTTTTGAAACCAACCACCAGGTCCCACCCTCAAAAACCATAGTTGTGGATATTGATGTTGCGCATTCAACAAACTTGGCAGGCACAAACGAGTGAAGGATTCCCTTTAACACTAATGTCGACCCCGGATGAGTAAACCGCTGTTAGTTATATGGGGGTGTTCTCCTCCAAACGTGATAAATCCCCACCAAAACCAGGGACACCCCCATATTAATAAACAGGGGTGTAGTAATCCGGGGTCAGCATTAAACAAGCGTGGAAGGGGATCCAGACGTATCCCCCCCCAAAGCCTTCCGAGGTGAGGTGGAGCTCCTGCCCCTCTTGGTCCAGCTCGTGCACCTCCAATAGAAGGCCGGATCTAAGTAGAACCCGTCAACGCCTTTTCGCCTTTTTAAGAAGTGAACAACTTTTTGTGGATTAGTGGAAAACCCCAAAAATGTTAAAGTCTAAAGATCCAACCCAATAGCAGTCAAGTGAGGGGAAGCGGGGATTCAGACCACCTTTGGAGGGAACACCTCCCGCATGATACGAAAGGGTCTACCTATATCTGGGCTCGACAACATTCCGGGTCCCCTTTCGCCCCTGAAATGCCAATAGGAGGCTCAAAGAGCTTCGACTCGAGGTCGAATCGAAGAACTAGAAGGCCAAAAAACTGAGACACTGGCAAGGCTTGGGTCAAAGCCTTGGGTCAAAAACCAGCCATGGAACCATGGCCCCCTGTTTACCGTCGGGGTGGTGGAGTTCGAACCCTCGTCCAGAAGAATCCTTGTTTGGAAAAATCCGCGAAGTGCGGCCTCGGTTTTGGGAGTAAATGACTGCGGCCTTCCTCCCGTTGCGAGCTTTTTTTGCGACCTCGCTCCTTTGCTTGTTCCTCGCAGTGCCGGTTTTCCTGGCTGGCTACGCAACCTAGGCAAGTTCCACATGTCATGCAGGATCTGGAAGTCGAGCCTGAAAGTCGTAGGGGGTCTGCTTGATGGTGGCTGAGAAGCCTGGGGAGTCCGTCAAGAACTCGCTGATGCCTAGCAGATCCGCTGGGGCTGGGTAAAGCTCGGAGTTTCCTTGCGGAAAATCGGCTTCTCTGGTCAGTGACTGGGTCTTTGAATGCAAAATCAGAGCCCAGGCGTCTGAGTAGCTGCATTTCAAAATGTGCCAGTGACATTTTCCTCGCGGGGCTGTTTCTAAGGGAATGCGAAAACGACGCCCACCTGCGGTTTCCTACCATTCTTTAGACAAACCCAGGCTACAAACCACAAATCCTTCGAGTTGGTTGCTTTCTTGTGGGCTCCATTTCGCATCCCACGTGCGCGTGAACCCCCCCCTCAAAAGGTCCCTGCCAGTGGCAGGAGCGTATATGTTCAAACCGACCCTGAAAAGAAACCCTTAGTCTTGACTTGGACGCAAGCCCAAATGCAAACATGCCGGAGCAGGTTCCCGCAGCAAGATGTGGCCCTGAGCTCACAGAAGCAGGAGAATGCTTGACATTCAACAGGGTGCCTAACTGCAAACTGACCGCAGTTGGCCAGAAAAGGCCTTCATGTTTTGGCTGCTTGAAACATGATGAAGCAATACAAAGATGTGTGTTTCTTCTGTAAATACCAACAAAAATGATTTCCCATGGTTTCAAAGTGACGCGAAACGGATTTGTCCATCCACAGCTCACCATTTAGACTAATATTATAGACACATTGTTCACACCTCCTTCCTTGCCCGAGGTTTCGGCTGCTCGATCAACGCAAGCCACGGTGATCAACTTCCGAATTTGACACCGACTGTGGATGGACGAAATCCTGCACCGTGCACGGCCTAAGACGCCCTGGAATGATTCCCCTGTAAATATCAACGAACAATGGTTTCGCCTGGTTTCAAGGTGGTGCGAACGGATTTTGCAACCATCCATGGTATGACTTGAGCACATCACAGGAAACATTTTGGCTTCCTTTCAGGAGTTCTCTACGGCTTCCAAAAAACTCCTTGCGTGCTTCCGGAGCAAGATCGTGTTTGACAAACCACTGGCCATGCGAACACGCCGCCATATTTGGTGCATTTTCTCCCAAGTTCAGGACGGAGAACAACAAAACAAAAAACCGTGGGTTGATTATACCCCTTTTCGAGGAGCTTCATGCCCCTGCCGGTATGGCTGGACAAAACTCCCCAAATTTCCCCGGGGCCGCGATCCCGCTTGCGCCTGCATCCCGCGCAGGCAGGCTGCAGCTGGGGGAGTAGCTCCGAGCGCGAGGCGCTCTGAAGCGCCGCCGAAGCTTGCGCCACATGTGACTGGATGCATTGGCTGGATCCAAATTCTGGCCTCATGATTTTACCATGATCAAAGTCGCCCCCCGAGAAACAACCACATCTTCTGACTTTGATAACCCGAGAAACCGGCAAAATCATGACCAGGAATTGGGAGGGGACGATCCTTGTCCCGGACGCAAGCCCCAGTTGCCCCTTTGTAACCCGTGGAGAACGAGAACTTTGAAGGATCAGTGGGGCCTTCAATTAGTTGGGCTGCCTTTTAGAGGTTAACAAAGCCCCTTTTGCGTCCCCAACCAGGAGGAGGAGAGGGGTGATGTGGCCCCCAAAGCAACTACTTATTGAGCCTTTTTAAATTATAGAGACCAGCTACAGGATGTTGTACAGCAAGTCAACCAAACACCTAAGGTACAGAGACACATAGAAACACTAAGCAAGGGAGTCCCTTTATTCACAAGCACAATGTTGTCCGGCTGGCAATTTACCAAGGTTTGTTTTGACGGTTTGGCCTCACCATACTTTCCATCAAGCAAGGTGCAGTAGAGCATCAAAGGCTTGGGTGCTCTCTCACGAGAGATGCTGGCGTTCGAGCTTGAGCCTGGATGACTTTGACAATCGGTGGGACGGGACAAAGATCATGCTGTGTGGTTTACTTGAATTTCATGTTCAAGGACCTCAGCATAACTGGTGACCAGGGAGTGAGAAAAGAACTGGCCATTAAGCGATGGTGGACTGAACCACGCGGGGGACCGGTTCAAGCGTTCCGGCACGCTTCTCACCCTTTGGAAATCACATTGCGGCCCAAAACGGAAAACCGGCGGGCGTATCGTTGAACAACAAGGAAGCCCTGTTTTTGGACGAGTTGAAAGGAAAGCCCACCTCACAAAGGGCACCACTTGACTTGCTATCACTATGCTTGCCCTCGGGTGGTCCTTTCGACCCTTTTTGCCACCAGCTTGACACGCCTACAGAAAGCCAGCGCTTGCGTGCAGATGTTTCCAGATCAAAGGACCGCACGTGACCGAGGGCCCTCAGGGATCATGGGCCCATGCCACCCACACCGAGGCTCCTACTGGGGCTTCGAGAAGGCCCTTCGAAGCGGCCCTCGTTGGGGAAAAAACACACAAAAAACGAGGGCCTTCTTTTATTCACCTTCCCCCCAATTGGTGGCTTGGATTGGTTTTGTGGTTCATGAGGGGATCTACCCTCTACAAGAAGAGGTTCCATTCCCATGCAAACCCATCCAAGCCAGCCCTTTAGGGGTTACCTGATGTGCGGCGGCCCTCCCAGGTTCCCAAAGAACCCCCTTGGCCAAGGAAGGCGGTGTGTTTCAGTGTCAGCCTCTTCGGCGAACTTCGCGTCATCCGTCTCTGTCTCTGCCTCAGCTATTCAGCTATTGGCATGGACCAGTTCTTAAAGACAGGTGCAGGGAAATTCGCGAGTTGGGAATTGAGGCCCTCATGATGGATATATATATATATATAATGGTCACTCCCCTGATTATATAATCTACTTAGGGGACCGACATGGGACTTACAACGATAGAAATTGACAACCATGGTTCCCAGCCACTAACTTAATACCCCTTCGAATTTCAAGTTCGCGCTCAGTTCCTGGCTTGGAAGTGCTGCATGCCGAAACGCTTCGCACAAACACAGCGTGCTAATGCGTACCCCCATCTTGTCCAGAAGCAAACAAAAAATGGGCAACTCCCACTGAAAAGGACGATTTGCAGTTCGAAAGCCACCCAAAAAAACAGGAAACCCAAAAGGGCCATAAAGGCCAAGCGAGTCAGCCAAGCCTGGCAACGATCTGAGGCCCGTTGGAAGTTCTAAGGAGCTGTCCAGGCTCACAAGCTCTTGCAAGGCATTCCTCGTCGTCCGCGTTCGCGGCTTCAGCTGGCGAGTGGGGCAAAGTCAAACCGCGAGGGACTCCCCTTTCTCCCCACCGAACATCCCTCCGAACCCTCCCAAGGAGGCCTCATTGGGGACTTCAGGGGAAGGGTTGGTCATGGTTTGCAAACTGAGGTGGAGGCCCCATGATCCAAGCGGTTCAGCTCCTTTCTACTTGTAAACCCGTGCTTGTCATGGCAAGCCCTGTCCAATCCGCATGAGCCCTGTGCCAAACTGAAACATGCAACTTGAAACCATCCAAGGAACAGGGACGCCCCGGTACACAAACATGGGAGAGCACACCACTGAGCCAAATTTGGGACCAACACAGTCTGCCTTCTTGCTTGACCAAACTGGGCTGCACCGACTGGATATCAGGGATCTTACTATCATGAGAGCCAGAACTGGAGAAAACTCTAGGGGACACTTCCCCATTCTTTCCAGGATCCTTCTTTCCAGAAAACCATCAGAACTCCAGGGGAAACAGATCCGGTTTTCGAACAGAATGGGGAATCCCCATTCTAAAAACAAAACATGACCGTCACATTCAGGTTTGTGTCCAAACCTTTGGGCAGGGTCCCAAGTGCTGAGATCATCAAAGCCAAAGGGGAAGACAAGAAGAAAACCACTGGGGCCCTGGGGGGGGTTGATCGGTTGATCAATCTTCTCGGCCCCTAGATGATGGGCTCAGCTCCCATTGAGTGGTTAAAACATATCATGCTGCTCGTTTCGTCTTTTCCCCGTGTTTACCGGACCTTTTCAACAACACACCGCACCGCAACCTCCATTTGCTTAAGTCCCCGGGAAAATTGTTTAACAACATTTCCAGTAGTGAATGATTCCCTTTGACACCAACAGGGGAAAATAGAAACATATTCTTCACGAAATGGAAGGCAAATGGACGCAACGCAGCCCATTTCGGCCCATCCATCCCACTCGACGCGTGCGAAGCGGTGCGAACCCGCGAGCCGCCTGCGCGGAGGGCAGTCCCACAAAGGCCTTGAGCCCCCGAAGGCCCTCAGCTGCCTCCCTCTGCCCCAAGGACCAAGAGTTTAACAGGTGATGACCTGAGGTTAGGACTAAAAGTCTAGGTCCTGCAGTAGAGAGGTTAGACTAAGTTGGTACCCTCTCTTTTTCCTGTAGTCTATTTTAGGGGAACCCTCCCAAAAAAACAAGGTAAAAGGGTACTACTCGGGGACCTAGAACTGGAAACCAAGTCAGGAAAACCTGAAAAAGGGCCACTTCAGGGCGATTCGCGTTGCTTGCAAGTGAGCCTATGACTGTTTTCTTGGAGACAGAACATCCAGCTGCAGATAGGGCATGTTCCAAGAGCCGAAAGGTCTGGAGTTTCATCGGAAAACCATGGAGATTGGTTGAACCATACGGAATGTCGCCCTTCTGAGGCCTACTTAACTACCCCAATTGGCTGTTCGATCTGCGGAGGGCGTTGACAGACTGACTGTGCGCCTCCTGGTATTGGGCCGGCGTCAGGGGATGGGCGCCATGCTTCCAGGTCTTGAAGTCCGGCTCGCTCGCCCGAGCCCCGGCGGCGGGGAACTTGCCTGTGTCTGGGCCTAACCGCGCCGGCATCGTCTCCAAGACATTCATGAGATGTGTCGCCTCCTCGGGGCTCTCCTCCAGCTGCTTGGACAGGTCCAAGGCCTTGGTCTTCATGGCCTCCACCTGCAACGTCAGCACCCCGTCCGCCGCCTCGTGCGAGTCCGCGCCCACCGCCTTGCACTTCTGCTGCTGCCCGAAAGGCGCCAGGACGCTGGGACCATCCGTGGCGTCCAGCTTCTGGCAGAAACCCGTAGGCCCGCACCGGTCCTTCTCCGAGTCGTACATGCACCGGAAGGCGCACTTGCTGGGGCTGTTCATGCAAGAGCTTTGGCCCAGCATGGCGTCCACTGCCAGCATGAGATCGCGGTTGGCTTTCTTGAAAGCCTTGTCGGGCTCACCCGCAATCTTCATCATCAGCGGCTCGGCGGGCACGGGAGTCGACTTGGTGATGCCGGAATCCCCAACCGTCTGCATCTTGCCCTTGCTGTCAAAGTAGTACGCCTCTGAGCCTGGTTTCTTGCTTTGGTAGACTGTGAGCCCACCAGACCGCCGCATCCCGCCCAACGCAAACGTGGTGACACCGATGGCCGGGTTCATCTCTGTGCGGAGGAACAAGGTCCGCTTTGGCCCACATGGTGGTGATGGAGAAGGCGCCGCTGGCCATCACTGCCGCCTTCTTGTCCTCATACTCTTGCTTGGCCTCTGCAGAGAGCGATGACAGGGATGCCAGCTCTGCTGCTAGGTAGCTGTCTCGCACCGCACGCACGTCTTGCATAGCGAGCAAGAAAATGAAGGCCCATGCCAAGTTCTGACGTGCTGATGATGACCGAGCCATGGCAAGATGATAAGTCTGGGAGCCAACAAAGATTTGTGTTCGAACTTGAGCCCTGCAACCATTTTGTGTGGGTGGCATAGAGGGAAGTCAAAGCTCCCTATAGTGGTTCTATACTCCCATTTGTATTTTGGAAGAGTGGTTTGAAGCTGTAAAAATTATGAATGGCCACCTTAGTAAGTTGTGACATGAAGGGTAAATAAATCTCTGCCAAGCGCAAATCCAATCTTCGCATCCCACGGGCATTGCTGGTCTCTGCAAGACAAGGCCAAGAAATCCTCAGCTCGCACGCCCATTCTATCCCATTCTTTTTTTCTCGTGCGAGTCTACCCTTTTCAGAGTTCCAATCGGCGTGCTGTTTTTGTTTGGCAGCCAGAAGCCTATCTTGGTGGTGTGCACAGATCGCCTGGCAGCAATCACATCTCTTCGGTCAGAACCCCTTCCTTAGCCAGAAGTCGAACTTTCCTTCCTGTGAGTTAGGAGGGAGGGTCCAACGCAAGTCTTACCCAGTCAGGCCAAATGAATGTACAGGGAGGCCAACGGCCGGTCGTGCTCCAAGGCCTTCTAACCAAAAAGGACGGACTCTCCAAAAGCTCGTTTGAGACCAAGCTGCATGATCCGCCAACCTTTTAGTTTGCTCCCTACACGAAACTCATAGTGCTGTTGCAGGGAAGCATGATCTGGGAGCACTGGGGGACGGGTGGAGGCACAAACTGGTGCGTGCTTTGAGGACGGGAGGGAAACAAAGGCACAGACTGGGAGACAACTAAGTGCAAATGTTGGCCAGCATGTTGCCCGGCACTCTGAAGCATTGAAATGAGTAACAACTGGCAAACAAACGCAGCCCAATGATCTGGGAGCATGGAACCAGGCGATCTGGGAGCACTGGGAGACAAATGGAGGCACATCTTCTTAGAAGAGTAAGAACCCCAACAGCTGGAGCTGCTTTGAAAAAGAGAACAAAAGAAAGAAAGAAAGAAAGAAAGAAAGAAAGAAAGAAAGAAAGCAAGCAAGCAAGCAAGCAAGCAAGCAAGCAAAAGAGAAAGAGAGAAAGAGAGAAAGAGAGAAAGAGAGAGAGAGCGAGAGAGCGAACGAGAGAGAGAGAGAGAGAGGGAGAGAGAACGAGCCGTTAAAATACAAGTGCAAGTGCTGCGCAGCTGTTATCACAAACAAATGTAGTCTGCCGCAGCCCTTGTTTCTTCTCCAGCTGTAGTGAGGGCTAGGCTCAAGGCCTGCGGTATGTATCAACCATCAGTGTAGCGCACATGCAACTGTATCATGCACTCACTGTAGTTTAACACGCCCCCTCAGTTGTGCAACCTGAAAGTGCTGTGCAACCGTAGTTGAAAAGGGGGAATCCAAAAGAAACTGACGGGTAGTTTTTCGTTCTGCAAAATGACCGAAGGTAGGTCTACTACAACGCTGCTGGCTGTAGTTCATCTAACCCTCAGTGGCCAACAAGTGTAGTGGCTGTACAGGGTCCTAGTTAACCCTCAGTAGTCTCAGCTACTCAGAAAATGTAGTCCAGCAGGTAGCACTCAGGCATGCTGCTGCCAGTTGTGTAGCCTGTAGCCGTGTACCAACTTCAGCCTGTCATCCCCAGCGTGCTGAAGTAGTGTGTAACAAAGTAGTTGTTGAAATCGGGCACTCCTCGTAGTCGATTGTCATCGATCTCGAGCGCTGCCAGTTGTAGGTTGTTACAGCGAAGGTAGTTGTGGAGTTAGAGTCGTTGTGGTTGAGTGAGGTGGGTCATGGTGAGCAGTGTGAAGCCGTAGTAGTGTGTGCTTTTGTGGAGAATGGTAGTGATTGCTTTGTACTGAAAGTCGTATAGTTGGTCGTGGTGATTGAGGTAGTGAAGTAGGTCAGGCAGAAGCAAGCGCATGCGGTAGTTCCAAATGTAGTTGTTCTTCAGGCTGTAGATCTCGGTAAACCTGCTCATGCCGTAGTCCACCTTGTAGACGCGTTGCGCGTGTTGCGAGGTTGGAACGTAGTGTGGTGTTTGAGTGGAGAGCATGTAGGAGATGTAGTCCCGGGTGAAACGAAGTAGTTGCCCTGAGGTAAGATTCCTCAGCAGTAGCTCCTGCTCAATGTGTCGTTTGACCACAACGTAGTGGTCAGGGTAGTAGTGAACATTGCATGCTTCTGCCATTGTGATGCTTAGTAGTGTGGAGTCGTAGTGTGTCTTCCTTAGGTCGCCAGGGATGCGTTGGAGTGGTCGACTGTAGTCAAGGTGGTCGAGTGGTGTTGTTTGTTGTAGTGAAAGTAGTTGATACTCTTCAAGAGTGAGTGCTGTGAAGAGTTGGATGTAGTGTAGTTGCAGTCTGGTGTTCTGTGATGTGTAGTTGCTCAGCGCTTGCTGTTGGCTGGTAGTATGGTGTGGCGCCAGGTGTTGCGCGGTTGAATTGGTAGTTGCTTTCGTTGTATACAGGCGCCGGTAGTGACCCTTGGTCACTCGAATCTGTAGTCTCCACTGCGAGTGGAGTTGATGCTCTGTCGGGTGTAGTGTCACCCATGGTGGCATCGACGCTTGTAGGTCCAGTAGCCATGGCGGTGTAGGTATGAGTGGGCACATGTAGCGAAACACGGAGCGCCTTAGAGAGCAAAACAAATGGCTGTGGGCGCGAGCAGACAATCAACAATTGTAGTGTTGCCTGAGCCGCCTAAATGCCGCCAAAGTGCAAGTGATACTTGAGTTGGGGCACACGTAATCAAAAAGAAAAGGTGATACAAAACGTGTAGTCAACGCGCGCGTGAAAATACCGCCAACGAAAATGGTGTGTTGTGAAACGGTCGTTGTTGTTGCTGCTGGTAGTTACACACTCATGCTCAGTGACTGAACAAGTCGCGTGAGTGTGTCCTTTGTAGTGTACTTTGTTAAGATGTCTGCCTTTCATTGTTGTGAAGTGTGTTGATCTTTGCTATTTTGATAATGTTGTTCTTGATGAGGTCTTGTGTGTAGAGGACCTTGAGGTCGGCGTGTTTTTTGCTCGTTTGCTTGAACCTTGTCGCGCAGCCATGCTCTTGCCTGCTGTAGAGTCGGTGTGAGTGCGAATGTTAACTGTAGTGCGTATGTTTGTTTCAGGAGGAAGGATCTCAGGTGTAATTCTTCATTCACTCCTGTGCAAATTGCGTAGAGCTCTGATTCTGCTGAGCCCAAAGCAACTGTAGCTTGAGTTCGGCTTCCAAATGCTATCGTTGCGCTGAGAAGTTTGAGGTTGAAGCCTGATGTTGATTTGCGTGTAGCTGGGCATCCTGCCCAATCGGCATCAACGTAGATCTCGAGGTCGAGGCAGTTGTTGGTGTCCAAGTTAATTGAGTGTAGTGGTTGGTTGTATTCTGAACTTGTAGCGCTTGGTTCCTTGAAGGTAGCGTAGTAAGTGTTTCACCCGGTTGTTGGGAAGTTCTGTAGGTGCTGTCAGGTCTCTTGCAAGTTCTTTGGTGGAGTAAGCAATGTCTGGTCGTGTGTAGGCTAGCCATTGTAGTTTTCCTACAACCTCTTGCGTTGTTCTTTTTCAAGTGGTGCTTCATCTTCCACTGTGGGCTTGTAGTGTGCTATTCCAGGTGTAGCCACAGGGTTGCTGTCCTTGAGGCTTGCTTCCTCAATGATGTTGTTGATGTAGGAGTCGGCCAGTCCGATGGTGATGTGATCACCGTTGTGCTCGATGATTCTTCCAGGGAATTGTTGTGGTTGTTGTGGCTCAATGTAGCCAATGTGTTTGAGTAGCACTCGTTTTTGGATTGCCTCAAAGGTCTTGTTGACTGTAGTTGGGTCGCCAAGAACAAGTAGATCGTCAACATACACCATGATGTAGCAGTCTCTTGTAGGCGACGTGTAGGCGTTGGGTTCGAACTTTAGTTGTTTGAAGCGTAGTTCTTGTAGGACTTGTGCTAAGTAGTCTTGCCATGACTTTGGTGAACTGCGTAGTCCGTACATGGCTTTTCGCAGTCGCCACAGTTTGTCTTGTCGTGGGCAGAGTTGCTTTGGTGGCCAAATGTAGGTTGGCTTTGCGTTGTGCTGTGAGAGTGGTGCGTGTAGGAATGCTGTAGATGCGTCTCCTAGCCGTGCTGTCCATCCTTTGTAGAAGTAGAAGTGTCCGTAGATGCGTACACGGAGTCCTCGTCGTCGACTTTCTCGCTGTAGCCTTTTGCAACGATGCGTGAGCGAACTCACGGTGTACCCATCGTGTAGGGATTGCTTCCCTTATTGTAGAGGGGCTGCCTCTGTTTTCATTCCTTCCAGTAGTTTGGATTCGTCGAACCCTTCGTTGTCAAAAACGATTGGTTGTTGTTGTTCGTCGGGGTCGTCGTTGGTGCGCGATTGGATTGTAGTTCCGTCGTGTAGTTTGCATGCTGCGATCATGTGGGTCCGTTGTCGTTGTGATTGTGGTTCTGTAGTGTCTTGTTCGGTCGTCCTGACAGTAGTTCCTTCTTTCGTCCTTTGAGCCTTCGTTGGTTGCATTACTTCGTCTTGGTTTAGTCGTTGTTGGTGGTGCTGGTAGTGGTGGATGTCGGCGTGTGGTCGGTGATGTAGCCATTGGTGAGTCCCGTAACTGCGAACTTGAAGATCCTGTCGTAGGTCTCGTCGAAGGTAATACTGGTCCTGCAGTAGTTCGCGCTTGTTTGCTCGGTGGTGGTTGTGGTACGTCGTCTTCAGCGTTAGTCTGTTGTCCTGCGTCACGTTGAGGCGGTCGTGGAGATTGCGACGGTGGTCGTAGTCCCGTAGTTTCGAGGAGTGTCGTAAACTTCGGGTCGTAGGTGTTACGTCTCGGTGACCCTGGGGTTCCGGTTATCTTGTTCAGTAGTGCGAGGTCGTATTTGAAGTCCGGTTGTAGTCTCCTCGCCGTGCGTACTCTCGTCACTCCTTGTTCTGTAACCTTGCATAACCAAATGCACTTCTGCATGCGTAGTTCGGCTTTAGGTAGACTCTTGTGCTGCGGTGGCATGTACAGTAGTGCTTCTCCGAATTCTACGATTGCTCCTTCGTAGCTGCGTCCCCGGTGTCG